GCCCGCCGGTGCGAAAGAGTCCCGAGACTGTCTGTTAGAGAAGAGTCATCGATCAGTCGGACCGCCCTCCTCTGGACAGCATCGAGCATGGACAATGTAGTCGGGGCGGCAGCACCCCAAATGTGTGAGCAATACTCGAGGCTAGGCCTTATCTGGGCCTTGTATAGAGTGAGAAGGTCATGCGGAGAAAAGTACTTCTTCGCCCTAAGCAAATAGCGTAGCTTTTTCCCAGCAGCTGCAGCTATTGAAGAGATGTGTTCGTGCCAGATCAGGTCCTCGGTGATCTGGACTCCGACCAACCGAAATGAATGGCTCTTTGGTAGAACTCGACCGTCCATCGAAACTGTATGAGCGCTAGGACGCTTTTTGTTCGTCAAAGTACAGTACTGTGTTTTGGAAGCATTGAACTGTACAAGATTGTTGCGTCCCCAAGCAGTGATAGCCTCCAGGTCTCTTGTCAGAGAAGAAGTCGTCGCTAGTCTTCTTTTTTCCAGCTCAGCGGCAGAGAACGGCTTGTCACTCTGAATTCCTGCATGTAGAGTGCTGTCATCAGCGAAGCTGTGGATTGGGTTGATCGTGCAGGAAAGGAGGTCGTTGATATGTAAGAGAAACAGTGTTGGAGCCAAGACCGATCCCTGGGGAACACCCGCGTTGACGTTGTGGGATGAAGAGGAGAATCCATCAATTACGACGGATATCTTGCGGCCAGAGATAAAGTCAGCCACCCATCTGCAAAGCTTTTCTGGGAGACCGTAGGATGGAAGTTTGCTCAAGAGGGCAGCGTGCCACAGCTGATCGAACGCTTTCGTGATGTCAAGAGCAACGACATGAGCCTCACCATGAGACTGGATGAGTTTACTCCACAGTTGCGTGACGTAACATAAGCTAGGAGGTCCCCTGTGGATCGTTGGTGCCGGAAACCGTACTGCCTGTCGCTAATCAAGCTGTGACGTTCGAGGTAGTCCAGAAGCTCGCGATTTATGCACCTCTCCATCACTTTACTTATAACAGAAAGCAGAGCTGTAGGCCTGTAGTTGTAAGGGTCGGTTTTAGATCCTTTTTTTGGGATGGGCTGTACATGAGCAAATTTCCAGTTTTCTGGGAAGGTGCCGGATTCATAAGATATCTGGAAGAGACGCGAAAGAACTGGAGCAAGCTCAGCTGCACATCTCTTCAGTACAATGGCAGGAATCAAGTCCGGACCAGAAGCTTTGTTGATGTCGAGCGACAAGAGCACTCGTCTTACGGTCTTATGCCTGAATGTTACCTCCCGCATAGTGTGGGGAACCCTTTGAATTGACGGCACTTGGGCGTTGGTGGGGACGTCCATGGTGGAGTTGGCAGCAAAGATCTTGGCTAGCACTTCCGCCTTGGCCTTTGAGTCGAATACAATAGTTCCATCCTGACACGTAAGTGGTGGAAGGCTACTGTGTGAGAAGTTCTTTTCAATCTGCTTGGCCAGCGTCTAGAAAGACCGACTGCCATTGCGCTGCGACATTACCCTGTGCCTAACTTTTATATCATGCTGGGTTTTGGCATTGCGAACTGCTTCGTTATATTTGTTTCTGGACTCGACGTCGGCTTGTCTGTTCTCTACAGTGGGGTTTTGTAAGTAGGTTCTGTGGGCCTTGATCTTCTGCTGGCGAGCAGTGTCACACGATTTGTTGAACCAGCCGTTGGACCCTGATTTAGGAGCTTTCACTGTGTGAGGGATGTATTCCTCCATTCCGACGTGGATAATTTCGGTTATTGAAGAACACACAGTCGACGCATCCGCGTCAGTGAAACAGACATCTCTCCAAGGAAAGCTAGAGAAGAAGTCTCTGAGCCCCTCCCAGTCGGCGTGTCCGTAATGCCAAGTTTTGCGGCCTGTGCGAGTTTCTGCATAATCCCTTAGATATGGGATATCTCTCTGTGAATGGTCTCATTTGACACGTTCCAAGGGGCGTTAGTTATTGTGCTTAGGGTTCTGTTTTGCATGTGCGTCTTGGCAAGAAAACACCAAGCCGCGCATGCGTAGGTGATTTTATACGATCGAATCTTGTTGATCAAGCTTAATTTTGAATTTCTGCACAGCAAAGGATAAAGCTGCCGAAAGGTAATTTGGAATTTCGTTTTCAAAATATCAGTATGTTTCTGCGAGGCCAACCCCTTGTCAATATGACAGATTGCTCCCATGGTATACGAGTTCCAGTCACTTATATCTCTGAGGGGGCGTCGTGACGTGGTATTAATTTTGATCAACCACCGATCCGCCCACTCCAATATTTCCTCCACCGCACCCTGCAGCCTGTCGTGAACCAAGTTACCAGAACAAGACTGGACTAGCAATGCAGTGTCATCAGCATAGAGATAGACTTCACAGTTGCTAGGGCAAGCGACGTCATGTATATAAAGTGTTTAAAGGACTGGTCCTAAGACCGAACCCTGAGGAACACCGGTTCTTACGGGCCGCGTTGCGGACAACACATTGTTAATTTTGGCCTGAAGCTTCCTTCCTTCAAGAAAGGATTTCAGTAATTTTAGAAGCCAAAAAGGAAAACCTTTTTGGATTAGTTTATTTTGACTATACAGGGTGTTTCAGTTTATTGTTGCCTAACTTTGAGATTAGATAGAACTTATAAAATTAATGCATAAAGTCTTTATAAACATGGGTCGAAAAATGCGTGGGTGTTTAAATTTACTTTCTAAAATAGTTTTTTTAAATATTTCGAACAATATTTGATGTATAACAGTGAAAATTGGTATACAAGGGTATTTTGGTACGACAAAACGAACCATGGGCATAGTTTTACTGTAGCCGCTAGAGGGCGCTCTCTACTGTACCTGTAGTGTATTAAAATGACCGAAAACTTTTTCTTAGTGCAATTTTTTGCCTTTTGAATAAAAAAACTGATTCTTCGCACTTTTCAACATAAAAAAGCTCTCTTGTGAATTTTTGTTATAGTTAGCCGTTTTTGAGATATTTCGATTTTTAAGGTTCGATGCATTTTTAATTATTTATGATAAAATAACGTTAAAAAGTCAGTATCTCGATAATTTTTAGAAGTAGTCTGTGCCTGCAAATATTTTTGAAATTGAAAGCAGAATAAGGTTAAACGTCAATTAGTTGACAGTTAGTTTTGTTGTCTGTTGAAACCTGAAACGTTTTTTTTGCAATTGTGAATGCACGAAATTCAGTTTCTTTTACCTGTTTTCTTTTTGTAAGTTTTATAAAAATCCCATTTTTATTCTCCAATCAAGAGTTAGCGGTTATTCATTTTGTGTATGGCTTTGTAAATGGAAACGCAGCAGAAGCAGCCAGAGAATACGCACGAAGATTTCCAAACAGACGACATCCAACTCGCTCAGTATTTGTAAGAGTGCATCGCCAAGTAATTGAAAATGGTTTTGGAAATCTCCAAAGGGATCAAAACATAAATGTTCGTCAGCGCAGATTTACCCCTATGATTCTGCGTGAGTTTGATAGAGATCCGACCACAAGTGTTAGGAGAGTTTCTGGTGCCTTAGGAATTTCAGCAAGCCATGTTCACCGTGTTCTTAGAAATAACCATAGACGTCCTTACCATTTGCAACCTGTGCAAGGACTACAGCCAGGGGACGGAGAACGAAGAATCACATTTTGGATTCTTGATAGAACTGATAATAATAGGGAGTTTTTAAGTAACGTTTTATGGACCGATGAGTCATGCTTCACTATACGTGGAGTGGTAAATTTTCATAATCAACATATTTGGTCGCATGAAAATCCGCATGCAGTTCGGGAAAGAAATTTTCAGCATGAATTTAGTGTGAACGTGTGGATTGGTATCTACCGTAATCGACTATTTGGAACCTACCTTTTGCCTGCAAGGTTAAATGCTGCGACCTTCTTGGAATTTTTAAAGGCTGAACATGCAAATATGTGGGATGGCGTTATGTTAGATTTAAGAAGATTGGCCTGGGTCCAGCTTGATGGTTGTCCAGCTCATTATTCGAGTATAGTTAGAAACTGGCTGGTCGAAAATTATCCAGAAAGATGGATCGGCCGTAGAGGATCAGTCGTCTGGCCTCCACGATGCCCTGACCTAAATCCATTAGATCTCTTTGTGTGGGGATTTCTAAAATAAAAAGTGTACCAGACTCCCGTAACCACAAGAGATACGCTAATAGACAGAATCAGGAATGCATGTGATGAAATAAGGCCTTATTTGAATAATGCTATACCACGTTCGATCATTCGTAGATGTGAATTGTGTATTGAACAATTGGATTTACATTTCGAGCAACTACTTTAGATTCTGTATGTTTGTCCTAACTATCCAATAGCATTTTAGTTGTAAATAATTAATTTAATTTGTTAAAAATAATATTGGAAAGTTAAACAAATTAATATTCTGTTTTTTGTGTTTATTTGTACTTAGGAATTATTGCTGTGTTTAAAAACACAATCTAAACGATCATCTTAATTACTTGTAATGGCCAAATCGAAAATGTAAAAAAAATATTATTTTCCCATAAATAATTCAAAATGCATCGAACCTTCAAGATCGAAATATCTCAAAAACGGCTAACTATAATGAAAACTCACAAGAGAGCTTTTTTATGCAGAAAAGTGCGAAGAATCAGTTTTTTTATTCAAAAAGCAAAAAATTGCACTATGAATAAATTTTCGGTCATTTGAATACACTCCGATAAATCACCTTTTCGGCGAGCTTAGAAGGAGCCGACAGCAGATTTATGGGACGGTAATCCTGAGGAAACATCGAAACCACCTTCTTTGGAATCATGATGATCTCAGCAGTCTTCCACGCAGCAGGGAAGCACTGGATTCTGAGCGTCGCATCGATTATTGTCACCAAATATGTCAGGGCTTTCGGCGAGAGCAGCTTCGACGCCTTGTCAAGTGTTATATGAAACTTTTTGCTTCTCGCTTAATGAATATCATAACGTTTACACCCTGTATACAAATTCTGAATATAATCGTTATTGGAAATACTCCAAATACTATCAGTTCGACACGGTAGCAACGTGCCGTTACAGCTCGACTATATCCAACACCCATAGCGAGACCGAAGGATATTTCTCCGATATTTCCAATGCCAAACTTCCACCGGGCGATGCACACGTTTCCAAGTCGATCGACGACGCTTCTAAACCGTCCCGTTCTCCGATTAATAATTGAAATCCGAAATCAATAAGCGATATCAACAAGCTGCGAGTGTGAAAGAGCGAAATCGCGCGACAAGTTCAGGTGACAGCTGCTCCATAATCTTATCGCAAACGAGAAAAGTATGTCCGAGATATACACCACCTGTTTCGTTTTTCGCGATACAGTGATCAAGTGTTCAGACGTGCGAAATCGGTGGGACGCGATGCGATCTACAAGTAAGTCATATTTTGTTATCGATTAAATGGAAATTAGTTGATACAGATAATGTTTAAAGCTTCCATATTCATTGATGCGTGGTCCCAGAGTATATGGTAATCGGTGATACTGAGAAGCAACAAGCAAAAGTAAATTATCAATACTATTTTTAATTGTATGCCATTTAGTGCTTCGGTTCACAAGTTTCCTGTTGCTGAAAGATATCTGCTTTACACAAGTCCGTGTTCCTCATTTATGTCGGTTTGTTAGTCCGTGTCTGTTGAATAGCAATAAGTCATAAGTACTGAGTCAATCTACTTGACGATCATCCTAGATGGAGTAACACAAATTAAAGGTTAGTTAGACGAAATCTCTTTGCACATCATGCATTTAATAAATTATTGTTTAGAAAGATTCAAAATAGTTTGCAAACATACGAGGAATGTCTTTTAAGTTTTGCATATATACTAAGTGACATATAAATCCGAACACCCAGTTTAAATGGTTTTATTTTAATAAAAGTCGGTGAATGTATTTATCTTACTGTAAATAACAAGTGAAAAATTTTTCAGCCTTATCAGTTGGACATTCCGGTTTTTATACTGCTTTTTTTTAATTCACTAATGCTCTAAAAATGAATATTTCAGCCGCAGTAAAGAATCAACGTTGGCGGATTTTGGTTCTTGACATCCTTTACGATCGGTTACGATGCCTAGAGTACGGAGACCTGTACGATTTCGTCAACTTAGTGAGTTTGATAGGGGCCGTATAGTGGGACTTCGGGAAGCTGGACTTTCTTTTCGGGCAATTGCAGTTAGAGTGCAAAGAAGTGTAGACACTGTGGTTAGATGTTGTCAGGCATGGCTTCGAGAAGGCCGTACGCAAAGAGCAAGGGGCACTGGACGCCGCCGTAGAACAACAGACCGTGAAGATCGCTGCCTAAGATTATTGGCCTTAAGGGACCGTTTCTCCACTACCAGGTCCATTGCAAATTAATGGTTTGCAGAACACGGAAGACCTATTGGCATGCAAAGTGTTTACCGACGAATGAGAAGTTTTGACTTGTTTTCATACCCGTCACACTGGGTCCTCCCTTTAACTCGAGAACACCGACGTAATCGTCTTGAGTGGTGCAGACAACGGTCACTCTGGGATCAGGAATGGAACAGTATTGTCTTTAGTGACGAGTCTCGATTTTGTTTAGGCATGCACGATGGTCGTGCCAAGGCTAAAAGGCGACATAGTGAAAGGAGGAGTCCACAGTTTTTTGTTGAAAGACATGTTCATCACACTGTTGGAGTTATGGTTTGGGGTGCTATAGCTTATGGTTCCAGGTCACCTTTAATCTTCATCAGATCCAACTTTCAAACAAGATAATGCCCGACCACATGTTGCAAGAGTCACAATAGGCTTCTTTCAACATAATGATGTCACATTGTTACCATGGCCACCAAGATCTCCCAACTTATCCCCAATTGAGCACGTGTGGGATATGATGGGTAGGAGATTGCTCAATCTGCAACGTCCTCCTCAGACTTTAGAAGCACTTCGAGAGGAGTTGGTGGTTGCCTGGAATGAGATTCCACAGGAGGACATTGACCACCTGATCAGAAGCATGCCTAGGCGCGTTGGAGAATGCGTAGCACATCAGGGTGCATCCACACATTATTAAAGGTCAAAGGGCTTTAAAGCAGTGCAATCATTTTGAAATTTTTATCATTTACTTATTATGCTTCATTAAGTACTTATACAAAATTTTATTAAAATAAAACCATTTAAAATGGGTATTTGGATTTATATGTCACCACCATTTGTTTGCCAAAAGTCATCACCGAGCTTCGAAAAATCAACTCCAAAAGAACAATCATCCTCCACCAAGAAAATGCAAGCTCGCACACGGCCCACGGAAGAAAACGTGGAATTATTGGACCATCCTCCGTATAGTCCGGATCTAAGTCCTAACGATTTCTTTACTTTCACGAAAATTAAAAACAGACGGCGTGGTCAAAGGTTGCGGTCACCAGAAGAAGCAGTTGACGCATTCAAAAATGCCGTTTTGGATTTGCCAGCAAACCAGTGGAATAATTGCTTCGAAAATTGGTTCAAGCGCATGCAGATGTGTATTAATCTTCGTGGAGAATACTTCTAAAAACAATAAAGTCATTTAAAAATACCTACCGTGTTGTTTTATTTCCACATGCAAAACTTAAAAGACATCCCTCGTATCGTTCGTAAAACGCATTTGGTATGCACAAAAATTACTCAAACTAACGCGAAACTATTGACAACTATCGATAATTTGAGGATTATTTGTTTATGTTTTGTTCTATTCATTGTCTTTTTCGAATATACCCATAGTGAGTATGCATTTAAACAAAAAATATTCCTTTTGTTATTAGTATTATTTACTTACCTTTTAGCGACATTTTGTAATAATTTCAAAAATGGCAATTTTATTTTGATGAATAAAAAGGGAGTCCGGAAAAATTTGTTTAAAAAATTCAAGGAATTTCCGTATAACATTTTTTTTGACATAATTTTAGGTTAGGAATAAGGTTTCAAGATGCGGTTTTCGAGAGCTTGTTTAGACCTTATTTAGCTATCTTTTCGTAAAAAAACCTACCGTTGCATTTAATTTTTTTTGAGAAAATCAACCATTTCTGTCGAAACGACGAAAAAACCCTCTAGCGGCCACGTGTGAAAACTAACAAAACTTCAAATATACTAAGTGACATATAAATCCGAACACCTAGTTTAAATGGTTTTATTTTAATAAAATTTTGTATAAGTGCTTAATGAAGCATAATAAGTAAATGATAAAAATTTCAAAATGCTTTAAAGCCCTTTGACCTTTAATAATGTGTGGATGCACCCTGATGTGCTACGCATTCTCCAACGCGCCTAGACATGCTTCTGATCAGGTGGTCAATGTCCTCGTGTGGTATCTCATTCCAGGCAACCACCAACTCCTCTCGAAGTGCTTCTAGAGTCCGAGGAGGACGTTGCAAATTGAGCAATCTCCTACCCATCATATCCCACACGTGCTCAATTGGGGATAAGTTGGGAGATCTGGTGGCCATGGTAACAATGTGACACTCGTCACTAAAGACAATACCGTTCCATTCCTGATCCCAGAGTGACCATTGTCTGCACCACTCAAGGCGATTACGTCGGTATTCTCGAGTTAAAGGGAGGACCCAGTGTGGCCGGTATGAAAACAAGCCAAAACTTCTCATTCGTCGGTAAACACTTCGCATGCCAATAGGTCTTCCGTGTTCTGCAAACTATTCATTTGCAATGGACCTGGTAGTGGAGAAACGGTCCCTTAAGGCCAATAATCTTAGGCGGCGATCTTCACGGTCTGTTGTTCTACGGCGGCGTCCAGTGCCCCTTGCTCTTTGCGTACGGCCTTCTCGAAGCCATGCCTGACAACACCTAACCACAGTGTCTACACTTCTTTGCACTCTAACTGCAATTGCCCGAAAAGAAAGTCCAGCTTCCCGAAGTCCCACTATACGGCCCCTATCAAACTCACTAAGTTGACGAAATCGTACAGGTCTCCGTACTCTAGGCATCGTAACCGATCGTAAAGGATGTCAAGAACCAAAATCCGCCAACGTTGATTCTTTACTGCGGCTGAAATATTCATTTTTAGAGCGTTAGTGAATTAAAAAAAAGCAGTATAAAAACCGGAATGTCCAACTGATAAGGCTGAAAATTTTTTCACTTGTTATTTACAGTAAGATAAATACATTCACCAACTTTTATTAAAATAAAACCATCTAAACTGGGTGTTCGGATTTATATGTCACTTAGTATATTATAACATTTGTAGCTCAATAGTAGCGCTTCCAACTAGCAGAAGTTTGTTAAGATCGGCTCAGCCTCACCACTTTATTTTTAAGGATACAGGAAAAATTATCAAACAAATAAAATTCGGTCAGGTACTTGAAAATATTTACAGGTTTTTCTCCTGGTTGTTTCAGTAAGAACTTTTGTCTCTACAATGGATAGGTTCCTAGATACTGTACCACGCATTTTTAGTTGGCCACCCTGTACTTATCATATAACATCCACAAAACAATCTCAATTTCGAAAATTTTCGCGATTACAATTTTTCCTCGCTTGTTTTGACATAGAGAGTAAAACTTATTTGTGATCTGTTCGAAAACTCCTGCAAGAAATGACTATTTCACGTTCACAAAATGCTCAAGAGTAGGTATATTTTACTGATCATTGGAAATCTGAATTTGTAAATATACTAAGTGACATATAAATCCGAACACCCAGTTTAAATGGTTTTATTTTAATAAAAGTTGGTAAATGTATTTATCTTACTGTAAATAACAAGTGAAAAAAATTTCAGCCTTATCAGTTGGACATTTCGGTTTTTAAACTGCTTTTTTTTAATTCACTAACGCTCTAAAAATGAATATTTCAGCAGCAGTAAAGAATCAACGTTGGCGGATTTTGGTTCTTGACATCCTTTACGATCGGTTACGATGCCTAGGGTACGGAGACTTGTACGATTTCGTCAACTTAGTGAGTTTGATAGGGGCCGTATAGTGGGACTTCGGGAAGCTGGACTTTTTTTCGGACAATTGCAGTTAGAGTGAAAAGAAGTGTAGACATTGTGGTTAGGTGTTGTCAGGCATGGCTTCGAGAAGGCCGTACGCAAAGAGCAAGGGACACTGGACGCCGCCGTAGAACAACAGACCGTGAAGATCGCCGCCTAAGATTATTGGCCTTGAGGAACCGTTTCTCCACTACCAGGTCTATTGCAAGTGAATGGTTTGCAGAACACGGAAGACCTAGACATTGTTACCATGGCCACCAAGATCTCCCGACTTATACCCAATTGAGCACGTGTGGGATATGATGGGTAGGAGATTGCTCAATTTGCAACGTCCTCCTCAGACTCTAGAAGCACTTCGAGAGGAGTTGGTGGTTGCCTGGAATGAGATACCACAGGAGGACATTGACCACCTGATCAGAAGCATGCCTAGGCGCGTTAGAGAATGCGTAGCACATCAGGGTGCATCCACACATTATTAAAGGTCAAAGGGCTTTAAAGCAGTGCAATCATTTTGAAATTTTTATCATTTACTTATTATGCTTCATTAAGTACTTATACAAAATTTTATTAAAATAAAACCATTTAAACTGGGTGTTCGGATTTATATGTCACTTAGTATACTTTCACTTTGTCCGATTTGGGAAAACCCATATTTTTATTTATAGGTCACACATTAAGATATGCGGCATGCATTGTTGGATACACGTACACGCTTTGTTTCACAAAACCACGCTTGCATATGTTACGCTTATTTTATCTTATTTTCTACCAACCAAAGGCTACCATGGACTGAGCAAAATATTATACATTATACAGAGTGGCGCATCGAAAACGAACATAATTTTGGCAAAAAATCACGTTAACACGTGCAGCCCCCTGGGCGGGGGTGACACCAACCCTAAAATCTTAAATGGAAAGGGGGGTCGAGTGATACCTTATTTTAAAGGTCTTTCAATTCCCTTTATAATGATGTAAAAAACATCAGCTTCAGTTCAGTGGTTTTGAAGAAGTATTGATTTAAAGCTTAAAGTAGACTTTAATAGGTACATCAGATTAGTTTGTACTACTTTCAGAAGAAATTTGACTAAAAGAATTGAATCATGGTGGCCATTTTCAACATTTACTTGCCTAACGGGTCAGTTCATTCTTCGTTTTTAAATTACTTTGCTGCCAAAAGTATTGATCTCCACTAATGATGATGTATTCGTTTTATTTAAGCTTTAAATCAATAGATCTTCAAAACTGCTGAACTGAAGTACATTAATTTTATATCATTATTAAGGGAATTAAAAGACCTTTAACATGAGGTATCACTCGACCCCCCTTTCCATTTAAGATTTTGGGGGTGGTGTCACCCCCGCTTAGGGGGCTGCACATGCTAACGTGATTTTTTGCCGAAATTGTGCCCCCCTCGAAAAAAAAATCGACGGGTCTGAGCGTTTTTCAAAAAAAAAACTGAGCTGTTAGTAAATGCGTCTGTTTCATTTTCTATGCGCCACCCTGACGATTTACTTGAAAGAGGCATTTCGATCGATACAAGAATTCTCACCACTTGAAAGGTCATGATAAGCGTGAGGTAAAAGATAAATTGTGGAATGAATATACAGGGTGTTTTCAAGTTGAGTCACTTATTTTAACTGCTTGTAGGACCCGTCAAAAGCCGTTGATATGCCAAAAATAAAATCGTAAGAGGTTAAAAATTTTTAAAAATAAGAATGCTATTAAACATATTCTCGACCACTGCCGTGTAACATCTTAGCGTTTTTTGTTTACTACTATTATCTAAATTTCTCAAACTGTTGTATGGTTTTCAGTACGAGGACTGTGAGGCCCAAAAAATTACCAAGACCATGATCCATTGTCTTTCAGATCTGCTCCAATAAGTTATAAATGACTCCTGTTTACAACATACCGATACGCCTAAATGGATCGCAAACAGAGACTCAGTCTCCAACCGAGAAGCAATACCGGACCCCCACAAAGAGTCTTGAGGCACACCTTGTCTCAATCTCAAATTTATGACAACGACAGAGCGAAGAAAAAGAAACACAGGGTGAGTCAATTCTGCGTTTGCGTATGAAAACGCTGTAAAAATCTACTTCGAGTATTGTCTCATAAATATGGTTCCCACCCCCGTATTTTTGCGTGATGCTAGGCGACATCTGGCAACACCGTCATGTTTGTCGGCTCGCCCACCACCGAACCCAACACGTTAAATTCCTTATTCCAAATAAACAATTCTGGACAACAAATTTTAGTTTTTTAATTGTATCTTGTGGGAAAAGTGCACTTCTTTGTTAATTTTGGGGCGCTGAATCCAAAAATGACAGTGAAATAAAAAAGTTGCGGTTTAGAAAAAAAACTTTTTATTTTTAAGGATATATTAAAAAAAGTAACAAGATTCATATATTTATAAGAATCACTATATGCGCTGTCTTTTTTCTGTTCTTTTATGGATCGTTTCTGGAGCATCTCTACCAAGAGTCCAACAGTAGTCTGCAAGCATGGAAGGATTCCACTTTCCCTGGTACCTTTTTCCATTGTTGAAATATCCTGATGAAAACGTTCGCCGTGCTCATCACTTACGGCTCCGCAATTGTCAGGAAAAAAGTCCATGTGTGAGTGCAGGAAATGTATCTTAAGAGACATATTACAGCCCATCTTTTGATACGATGACAGCATATTTTTGACAAGGGTTTTATAGTTGTCAGCTTTTCTATTTCCCAAGAAATTAGTGACCACCAGACGGAAATCATTCCAAGCAGTTTTTTCAATACCTGTTAAAGTGTTTTCAAACTGTGTATCTTTCAAAATATTTCGAATCTGTGGCCCAACAAAAATACCTTCTTTAACCTTTGCCTCACTTAGTCTTGGAAATTTCTGACGCAGGTATTGAAAAGCTGACCCATCTCTATCTAATGTCTTGGCAGTTTTTCATTAGGCCCAACTTGATATGCAGTGGTGGTAATAAATTTCTTTTCGAATCTACTAATGGCAGATGCTGTACATTTTTTTGACCTGGCTCTAGGAATTGACGAACAGGCCAGTTTTGTCTGGTGTAATGAAGTGCCTTTGCCCGACTGTCTCATTCACACAAAAAACAGCAAAACTTTGTGTAGCCTAGCTGCAGCCCAAGTAAAAGTGCAACAACTTTCAAATCGCCACAAATATGCCATTGGTGCTGATCGTATTTTATGCATGTCAATAGGTACTTCATACTGTCATATGATTCTTTTATGTGAACTGCATACCCTACAGGAAGAGATGGTAAAATATTTCCAATATGCAATAACACTTTAAACTCAATGTTGAACTGTCTATAAACAATCTCCATTCTTCTGAGTTATAGTTTATATTTAAAGCCGCAAGTAAGCCGTTAATGTTACCGCAGAAAACCAAGTTATTCTCCATATTGAAAAATGGTTCTAAGTCTTTGTGGCGTTTACGAAAAACACATACCGAAACATCGTCTTCTAACAAGTTCCTCTGCTGCAGTCTTGATCCAAGTAACTCTGCCTTACATTTTGGAAGTTCTAAATCTCTTACAAGATCATTTAATTCTGACTGTGTTATTTTGTGCAGTTGGTGGCACGACGTGCTCGGTATAAAATCAGGATCTCTTGACGTTGATGGCATATCTTCTTCCTGACGAATCACTCGATCGCCATGATCTGATTCGTTTTCTGATTCGCAAGTGAAGGATTCTGGGAGTTTTGGAATAGGATTTTTTTCTTGAACATACCTGTGGCTTGTCCAACACAAGGTACCATGCATAAGTAACAATCATTAATATGATTTGTAGGCTCTCTCCAAACCATTTGGACAGCAAAGCGCATAGACCGTTTTTTGCCATTTAACCAGCTCCTCAGACTTGAAGCACATGTATTACAGCAGATGTGGGGTGCCCACTGTTTGTCTTGATCACCTAGTCTACAACCGAAATAAAGCTGATATGCCTTTGTTATTAGTGGAGTAATAGACCGTCTCTGAGACGCAAAAGTCACATCACCACACACGTAACAAAACTGATCTGGATTGTTTACACACTTTCGAGACATCTTGCATGAACGCTGTCAGCCAACTGAGGAAAAAATGGCTAATATAAAACAATATAATGTACACGTATGTATAACGTAACACAATCATGCCGATTACATCATCTTTCCTTGCCGAATATAAAAATGTAGTACGTGCATTCTTGTGAATTACAGTATATTAACACTGTCACAGCAGGAACACATATAATTACCGTATCTCTAAAACTTGAACTAATATTGAAAAAATAAGTTTCATTCCGGTTTTAGCACATTAAACATAGTAATATTTTGTTGATTTTATTTAGGATATTTTTTGGCTGTTGATCAGTGTTATTTGTGCCCGCAAAAATGCGGGAACTCTATTTATGAAGCAACCCTCGTACATCAGCGGTTCGTAAATCTTGTGTGACAGCGTTTGTTCGTAACAACATTTGGTAACTAATGAATCCGTTTTTAAAAGAATAAGGAAAGAAAGGTTGAAAAGAAGATAGTTATGCTTGATACGAGGTCCGTAAATTAAGTGATCAAGCTACAGTTAAATTTTTGTGTGGATTGTTTCAATTTGGATTTGGATAGTTTGGTATTCAGTTTTTATAAACGACGTTTGGTTTTATTTTGTTCATGAAATAACACGAGCTGTAATTTTTCAGTTATCACCGACGATATCAACAATAAGCGAAAACGAAACCTTAGAAATGAGCCAAGTGACAATCGCTATCGACGCTGAAAAACATTCCAAATCTACGAATACAAGATTCTCTTATGATAATGGAGGTTTTGATGGAGGAATCGAAAAATCAGAGAAGAAGAACATGCCAAATAGAGTGCCCAGCATGCAGAGTTTAGAGTAAGCTCAAAAAGTAATTTATTTTATTTATGGGAGATTTCAAAAAGCAGGTTTAATACTATTTTTTATGCTGAAATCGGATGAGCGCTAAGACGCGTTCTGTTTGTCAAGCTCCAATAATGTGATTTGGACGCATTAACCTGCACAAGATCGTTGCGTACCCCAGCAGTGATAACCTCAAGATCTCTCGTCAGAGAGAAAGTCAACGGCAAAGCTGTGGATTGGATTGATCGTACGGGAGAGGAAGTCGTTGATATGTGAAAGTGTGTGAATCAAGACCGATCCCTGGGTAATACCCGCGTTGACGTTGTGGCCTCCTCGATTTTCATAGCTATCTACTGTTCCGTGTCGGCGCTCTATTTTGAGGTTATGTTGCAAATATTTATTTGCATCAAATTGTTCATGCTTTTGACTTATATCATCTGTTATGTCAGACTGAAATTTCTTACAATTCAAAAGGAAAACATAAATCAAATCCAAGCGAATAACCAAAATTTCTGTGTTATGTGCCGCGGTTATAATATGGTTCAAGATGACACACGGGTTGACGTCAGTTACACGAATCGCTTGAACGCGTTGGTTTTAACCGCGGTTTTGTTGCAAGTTGTTTATTTTAGAAAAGCGCGTATATAATCTCTGATTATTTTTATTATCACTTAATAATAGGTGCTTTTTCATCTAAAACTGTGTATGGAAAGTTTAAATAAGAAACCTTTCATAATATTCATTCAGATTTTTTTTAAAACTGGAACCATGGCTTTGTAGCTATGATAACTTTCAATTCTCTGATTTTTTCCGCATGTCAATGAAAACATTTATTGATTCAGCAGAAATGATGAAAAAAGAAATTAGCAAAACCGTATACAGGTGGATATCATCTAGTGAGTTTATATGGCCATATTTTAATATTCTTGTGGTATATGGCTACACAGGATACTTTGTTAAGCATAGGAACAACATTTAAAGTGTCCCCAACAACCGTAATGAGTATAACTAATAAGGTGCTCCACTTTATGGTAAAACTGAGGTCAGCCTGTATCATTTTTCTCAATACAGTACAATAACAATATCCAATACCCGGCAAAATTCTAACTTGTCACATTTCAAATAATAACCAGAAATATAAAACTACTCTTGAGTTGGGTAAATACCACAATTTTGCGGTGATAACTATGACATATAACAGCTGATTCAAGACGTCACGGATCTTATAACCAAACTGATAACTACACTCGCTTGAACGGATTGGTAATTACCAACCCAAAATGGTAAATACCATTTCCATTTGGTTATCCGCTTGAATTTGATTATAGATTTTTAATAGGATAGCGCTGACGCTGACATGGACCATTAGAAATCTAGAAGTACCTTTAAGAAGGAGAGAAAATACCATGACAATCAAGGAGGCCGTAAAGGCGTCCTACAATTGTAGAAATGACTGACGATACGGCCCTTAGCACAAGCTGGTGAATATTTGTTGTGAACTCGTGAGATCGTAAGCACGATTTCAAGAGGAACGTATCATACCTGTCAACTTTCAAAGAGCGAATAATAAGATATAGTCTAAACAAACTGTATTGCTAATATGCATGTATCCGATAAAGATAGACGATGTTTTCATGTTGCATGATCGATCATATTTGAAAGATGAGTAGTTAGGTTATGTTAAAGCAGGTTAGGTTGTTTTCGAATGATACGTTGGTCTTTGGTGTTTCTGTCTTCAGGTATTCTAATCATAACTGTTTTTTTCAAAACTCCGCACTAAGATGATTATTACTCAAAACCATGAAATAAAATGAAAATAAAAATGATCAGTGAAATAATCTAACTAATATAAATTTGTTGTCAACATTCCTGACATCGTGATTTTATCATCGACGTACGTCCATTGATTACTTCAGTACAATTTATGGTATGACGTAAAGGTCATCTTTCGTGATTCTGACTATAATAATCAGCAATCAGTGTATATGTTTTGGGATGTATTAGTCGTTGTGGTTTGTGGTTGTAGTTTTATTTTCCGTTTTAAAATCTACTTTTAGAAAATAGTGGTTTTAAATGTTCATTTGCTGTTTGGGCTTGTAACTGTTATAATTAACGATAAAACTGTTGCATTCTTATTCATCATTTTGAACAAATGATCACTTCCATCCACATACTCTGTTAAAGTGATATTATCATTATTAACTTTAGTTCGTATTCCTCCATAATTAATCACTAAATAGAGACTTTGGGAAAATGTTTACGAACATTAAAGATACCTAACCTCAATTATGAACGTCAAACATTCAAAAACCTTATGTTTGGCGCCAACTTACACCAGCTAAGGCCCGTATCGTCAGTCGTCCCTACAATTGTAGGGCGCGTTTATGACCTCCTTGATTGTCATCCTCCTTTAATTACAGCCTCTGGGATTCCAAAATGACAAATTGAAAGGGTTATGTTTTCTCAGCGTTTTGAGCACGAGTTGCGTCGATGCAGCAAGCAGCGGCGGGAGTACCACTACCACCTACGTTGCCAGATTTCTTTGTTCACGGCTCGTAGTTGACGTCGGCTGTGATAAAACTCAAAAGCACTGGGAAGCAGCTCTGATTGTTATTTAAGCTGTGATAACACGTTAAATCAACTTCTTAAGCGGTAAACATAAAATTTCATCTAAATGTCAAATATGATGCTGTCAATGGCACTTCAACCGCGTTTTGACAGAATTCAGAAGATCGTCTTTTGTCGAAGCGTGCGCGTTGAAGGGTTTCATAATCGGGTGTCAAACGGTTGGGAATGTGACGCTGGAACATTTCTGACAATAGACGCAAAACTGTTTTTTCTTTTTCAGGGTAGTCCGGGAGCAATACTGCTGCTGCGCGAAGAGGACGAAATGCGAAAGGAAGTTGATAATCGCTGTCACTGTGTTATCTATTGTAATAATCGTACTGATAGTAGTAGTCGGTGTAGTAGCAGGTCGGAAAGAAATCGCCGAATTTACGGGACTCAGACTGGGATTATAGGTTATTACGTTATTCGTAATGCATACAAAATGTACATTGCTTGTGAATTTATTTATTGTGCATGTTCAAATATATCTAGTGCCATTTGTAAATTTTATTTCTCAACCACGCCTAGGTTTATTTTCTGAACATTATGCGTAAGTCTCGACAATTAAGTATACCTACCAAAGCCCCTAACTATTTTTCCGATATACCTAGAAAACAAGCTTTCATCTCGATCATAGACGTGCAACAGTTTTTAGATTTTTTTTATCCGTCATTTTTTGATGAAGTTGAATTCTTGCCAGTATCTCGACTGAACGGGAAATGGATTCGGTTTCAGCGCGGAATTTTGTGCCTTTTCTGTAACAATACACGATAATTATAACACACCAATTTTCTTAACCAATAAAATGTATTTAGGCAACTAATCACACGGTTCGTACATCAAATAACACAATTACGATGCAGAATTAACTTTGATTTCAATAATGAAAGTTCTGATCTGCATGGGAGTGAGTTTGATCTTCAGATTATCGACGTCTTCCGACGCGTCTATGATCGTTGCTCTCTTGGTGTGGGTGCTTTCTTCCGTTGATTTGGTGTCATCGAATGCTCCTTCTTCGCGAAGAAGATCTTCTAGTTTTCCAGCAGTCTCGAAGTGCAATCTGTGGTTATCAGATAGCCATTGATTCCCGCCCAGAGTCGTCTCTTTGATGGTAGTTATTTGGAATGGAGTAAAGATATCCTGAAAAGATATTTTCCACCATGTACGCAGAGCCCCATAAATTATAGTCTAAGAAACTAGAGATTACACGCAAATCGGACCAAAAGGAAGAAAATAATTTAGTATAGAAGAATTTCTGTTACTGAAATATAAAAATCAAGTATGACTAATTATTTTGGAATAAGATCTAGATATACAGGGTGTCCGCAAAGTTGGGGTTTTCCTTTTCAGAAACAACTACCCTTGAAATAACAAAGGTAATGTGTAGTCAAACGAGGGCGACCAAGTAAAAATAAATAAAGGAAAAAGTACTCACTCTCCAGTTGACGAGAAGGGCTAAGTACGTATCTGCCCGAAATCATACCGCTCCAACAGAAAATGAAATCAGCTGATGCGCTACCGAGCAGACGCAGGCAAACAAGGAAGGCAAAATGTTGCGTAAAACGTCTAGGTATTGCATCCCGTCCAATCGATTTGGGAGAATAAATGGTCCAATGAGCATAGCAGCCCAAACATTCACCGAAAATGTTTGTTGGAAATGTGCCCGACGGACAGCGTGCGGATTTTCTACTGACCAAACATGAGTGTTGCGAAAGTTATTCACCCCATTACGCGTGAACGTAGATTCGTCTGTCACCAATATGCACTTCAAAAAGTCCGGATTATTGTCATGTCGATGCAACAACCACTCACAAAACCGCACTCTTGCTGGAAAATCGTCAGGTTGAAGGGCTTGTACACGTTGGACGTAAAACGGATACAGCCCCTCTTCACGCAGCGTTTGCCACACTTTAGTTTTTGATACTTGCACTTCTCTAGCCACGTCTCTAGTGCTTGTTGAGGGATTCTCGTCTACGCGATTACCTCTACACGCGTGACTGTAACCGTCGGTTGAAGGTTGCATACTGACCTGACACACTGACCCCGACCCAGTTCTGTCTTCGGGTTGAGCTAGTGTCCTAGTACCACTCGGGGATGTCGCGGCTACAGGACGGTATTCAGATATTTTTGATGTTGCAGAGCCCTTTATCTCGGTTCCCTTAAGACATTGGTGTATATGGTACTAAGAAAAATTGCTTATGTTTTCAAGATCTACACGTCGTGTAAAGGAAAACCCCAACTTTGCGGACACCCTGTATATAAAACGCGTTTTGTAAAAATCTTATTTTATATTGATATTATTCCAAATTAATTGGTGATGCATAGTGTTGTAATTTCAGGAGACAAGATTGTAAAACTGCAGAAATTTGATTCGAAAATTTGTGACATTGTGGCATTAATAGTAATAAATCTTCAACAAATACATACAATAATCTTGGATAAATTTGGAATTTCTAAACAATTTGAAATTTGTAAAATTCGGAAATTTGGAAAATAATTTGAAGCTCTGGAAATTTTGAGAGAAAATTGATAATCCATTGGAAATTTTGGAAATTTGTAAAAATATACATTTATCGAAATTCTTGGTAATAAATACTTTTGTTGCCGTTTTGAGACTAAAAATTCAGAAAATAAATAAATAAACACGGCTCAGTTGGAGTTCGATGAAAACAAAATTAATTGCTTTTTTACTATATTGTATATTTGGAAATTATTTTCTACTTTTTTGTTCGATTTGTTATTGAAGAGTGTTTTTTTTTTGTTTTTTAAACTGTATTCTGTTTTCCGAATTATAAAACGACACAAATTCTGTTCAGATTTTTCAGTTTTGTTTTAGAAAGTTTGTAAAATTCGGAAATTTGGAAGATAAACTGAAGATTTAGAGATTTCAAAAAAAAAATCTCGTGATTTATGAAAAAATGTGGAATTTCGATATTGGAAAAAATATAGTATAAACCGAAACTCCTGTTAATAAATACTTTTGTTGTCATTTTGAGACTAAAAATTAGAAAATAACAAATAAAAAAACACGGCTTAATATCAAATCAAATTGGAACTACATATTAAGAAAATACAATTAATTGCAACCTAGGCTTTTTTAATATAATTGGATTTTTGGAAATTATTTTCTATTTTTAGTTCGATTTGCTATTGAAACGTGTTTTTCTTAACTATAATTTATTTTTTTAATTCTGATTCTCAAAACGACAATAAAATTACTTATAATTCAGAATTTTCAATCTTGTATTTGAAAATTTGAAAAACTCGGAAATTTAGAAAATAATTTGAAGATTTGTAAATTTTGGAAAAATTTGGTAATTCATAGAAAATTTTGAAAATTTAGATATTTGAAAAAATATACCAAATACCGACTCTTTTGTTGCCATTTTGAGACCAAGAATTCAGAAAATAAATAAAAAACACGGCTTAATATCAAGTCCAGCTGGAATTCAATGAAAATATAATTAATTACTTTTTTACTATAATTGTATATTTGGAAATTATTTTCTACTTTTTCGTTCGATTTGTTATTGAAGCGTGTTTTTTAGTTTTTAACAGATTTTTCTGTTTTGTATTTTTTGTATTTGAAAATTTGGAAATACGGAAATTTGGAAAATAATTTGAAGATTTGAAGATTTTGGAAAAAATTTGGTGATGTATAAAAAATTTTGGAATTTCGATATTTGAAAAAAATATACCATAAACCGAAGCTCTAGGCAATAGATACCTTCGTTGACGTTTTGAGACTAAAAATTCAGAAAATAACAAATAAAAAAACGTGACTTGATTGCAAATCGGGTTGAAATTATTATGAAAATCGAAGTTGAGTCATTTATTTTAACAGTGAGTAGATCTGATCAAAAGAAATGTTTTTTTCCTTTACCATTTTTCTGGTAAAATTAAAGTAACAAAGTTATAGCCCTTTGGAAGTTTGAGTACCGCCCTGTCTCAATAATAATATTATGTGCTCGTGTTTGGCAACAACGGATATAATCCGCCTTATCGGTTCATCGCATCGGAAACAAAAAAGCGAAAGAATTTGGAACGATGTTTTTACAATTATTTTATTCAGTTGTATAGTCAGTTTCAGTCGGTAACGCGTGAGTGAATAGTGGTGCCTGTTGCGTGGCTCAAACGAAATCAAAAATGGCACATGTTTACGAAAATGCTGAACTTGTGGACATGATTCTTATTTACGCGGCATCACGGATTTATACGGATCGGTTTCCCAATCGGGTGCAACCAACCCCTCGTGCCTTTGTTAATGACCGCACGATCAAATACAGATCCGCACTGAAATACTTGTCGGGAGGATACTTTATAAAACAAGGTAACATTTTTTTTTTAATTTTTTTTTTCTTTTTACACACATATTTTGGTTTATCTTCCTTCTACAATCATTATCTGAAAATTAATGACTCAACTTCAAAGTATAACTGATTGCATCCCACGCTTTCTTACTATAATTTAATTTTTGAAAATCATTTTCTTCTTTTTAGTTCGATTTGCTATTGAAGCAATTATAATTTATTTTTTGAATTTTTAGTCTGAAAACGACAACAAAATTACTTATAATATCCTTCAAATTCATTAATTTTTTACAAATTTTAAATAACACTGTCTTTTTGAAAGTTTCAAAATTTTCCCCAATATTTTCATTTAAAAATCTGCTTCTTATACTTTTCCAAATCCAGAAATTGTTTTCCAAATTTTCGAATACTACTCCCAATGTTAAAATAAATTTTTTCTAAAATTCAAATTTTTTAAATCTGTTCGAATTTGAATTTTTTAGTCTCAAAACAACGACAAACGTACTTATGATTTGTTCCAAAATTTTAAATTTATTTTCTAAATTCGGAATTCAATTTTTTCCTCTATATGAAAGTCCAACTCTTTTTCCAAATTTCAAAATACAATTTTTTTTAAATTTTCAAAATCGATTTTCTTACAAAACTGTCATCAGCTCTCAATCCTTGCGCAAAATTTCAAGTTCATCAGACTTCTTGTAATTTTGATAAAATTAGGTTAAAAGATTTCGTTACAAACAAGTCAAGCTAATAAAAACCTGTTAAAATATTTCAATTTTCAAGAAGTTGCGGTGAATATCTGATCCAAGTCACTTACGTTTAGATTCACTGTGACTGGCTCAGATAAGTTTGGATCTTCCTTACTCTCCAGCACATGTTCCAGTCTGAGCAGGAATGTGTATCCAAACCACGGCTCCAAAGTCAATATTTGCACGTTATCGGGAAGACTTTTCTTCAAACCGGAGAACTGGAATTTAAATCAGACCGTAAATAACGCGTTTGCGGTGGATATTTCTTGAAGTACCTACCTCCATTCTGTATTTAGCGTTGTACTCTTTGAAGGTTAAACCTTGCGTTTTGGAAATGAATGTCCAGGCAGAAAGAAGCTTCTGCTGCGCTAGGTCACGTTCTTGAGCAGCGACCGTTCTCCCTAAAAAAAAAAAAGATGAAGTCGAGTATAACTTTGAAAACGTCAAAAGTTACAAGTTCCTTTTTTGTCCAAAATGATGATTCAAGTAATTCCAGCGAATAAAGAATTGTGAAAAGTATGTGCACTTCTTTCTATAAAAATAACCATTTATCTTGTTAGATTATTCCAAGACCATTGAGGAAAATACGGACCTGTACAATCTCGCATTCGGGCAAGTTGTTTTGTCTGGGCGTAAATCGACAACGAATGGGGAACTTTAAATCAACTTGTGTGCGAATATCCCATGTTAAAACTTGTGAAACAAATAAATACACATGAGTTAATCATGTTCGTATGGAACTAAAACCGGCATCGCATCGGTGGTTCAGTGGTAGAATGCTCGCCTGCCACGCGGGCGGCCCGGGTTCGATTCCCGGCCGATGCAGCTTTTTTTCACCGTCAAAATGAAAAATTAATAATAAAATCTAGATACGTAATGTAAATTAAAATGTTTATCGAATATCTTGTAATAATATGAAGAAAAAATAATATATTTCCACCATGTCTAAAATTAATATCATTTATATAATACCAGAAATAAAGATGACTTCCATTTAATGTTCAAAAAATATGTTAGAAATTTGTATTCTATCAAGGTTTGAGTCAACATAATAAATCAGATAAAGAGATAAAAGACCGGAAGACAGAATATTCTAAGTGAAAGAAAAGAAGAAGAAATCCTTCTACTACTATTTGATTTACCCTTTTCACCAAGCTTAATTAGAGGTCAGTTATCTCAGATATTCAGTTTTTCGTTTTTGACGTTTCTGATTATTCTAACCGAATACTAAATATTCCCAATTGGTATGACATTTTTCACGAACGCATGGAACTCACCGTCTGGGTTGCTGGTATTTCTGCTTCCTAATACTACGTAATGAGATCCTCTAGCCACCAACCCCCTGTTGAAGGCCTCTTCCAACAGAGCTTCGCCAACACCAAAGGCATCATCATGCATGCACGCTCTGTGAACCTGTTTTTAGAAATATTCAAAGAAGACAACGTTAGTATATAATTTAAACTAAAAAAATATATTTGGTACCGTTGTGTCTTGTAGAACTTCGGATTTCACTGTTTTTTCACTTGAAACTTATAGAAGGTAGTGTGATAGATTATTTTAAATCATAAAAATTGTGGATGGAGCACGCTTTTCATGATTTTTTTCCAAAAATACTGTATTTTTTAGCAGTTATTTTCCCTCATTATTTCCACCGCCATCTACCATATGTCGTTGACGTCTGTGGATATGTCATATATGAGAGGCGCTTGCCTGCGGTGTTGCCGGATTGGGCTCCATATTTAGGGAAACATATGAAAAGTGGAAAATTTATATACATTTATATTAATTAATGAAACAAAAAAACAAAAAACTGAAACAAACAACAGTAGTAAAATTAAAAGTGATTCGTACTAAGTATAAAACAAAAAATAACGAACTGCAGTAAAATAAAACGCAATTCTGAGTGATAATAAAAAACAAAAAATTAAAACAGTAGTAAAACAAGAAACAATTCCATGTAATTATAAAAAACAAAAAATAACAAACAGTAAAATAAAAAGCAATTTGGATCGAATGAAATTGTTTTTCGTTTTACTACTGTTTTTACTTTTTGTTTTGTGTTGTGACTTGCTTTTTATTAATAAATTAATAAACTAATTTTGTCTAAAAAAATCGCAAGTGCCTTGGAAAACAAAAAATATTTATATATAGTATAATATTAATTAATAATAATCAACTTACCATAAGTTCGACTTCTCCATCCTCCAAGCTGGTTCCTCCCTGCGCTCTATCCGTGAGCACCGCTAGCTCCAAATCTCCGTCTGTGATGACGATCTTGGACGTTACCGGATAATAGTTTCCAGCGACGGGTTCCTCGAGCTGGAGTTTCCAAGTCGGTCTGGTGTTTCGGACTCGTTTCAGCATCTCTCTGCCGTTAGAGTCCGTATAGAACTGCGAGCTAGTCTTCAGCGGAGTTGTGAATCTGGTGATCACTTCTTTGCCGTTCTGCCCACTGTCAAGGAAAGTACTGTTATTATTACAGCACTATTTCGGTAAATAACTCTTCATAACTTTTTTGTGCTACACTGCATACAACAACCGACCAAAGCAATGCGGAAAAAAATTCGGGTTGTCTGATGTTGTTTTATAAGATTACTTGATTGGTGACCGTGTAAAATTTATTTTGAGTAATAACCAAGGAGACCATCCTTCGCTTATAAATACTTACGGAATAATAGGTATTGGTCCGACAAGCCAATCGAACTCTATATAACTCTCATCGGCATACACTCTCACGATCTGGCTGATCCAGTCGTTGAAAACTTGATGCACTTCGTTCACCAACGAGCCTTTGAAGATCGTGACCTTCGCGGAATCAGACGCTACTTGCGCTGCACCAGTCGGTCGGAAAATGTAAGCCCCGGAAGACCTGTAAGATTATATAGATAACGTACACTGCATTTGAACATCTGCAAATTTCCATTTAAAACCATAACAGACAAAAAACACTATTCAGCACGTTTTTATTTTTCTTTATTTATTGAAAACCATTACCATGGAAATCAAGCGTCTCTGAAAGGTCATTGAAATCAAAATTTTGTTTTTATTGTAACAGAAATAAATAGTACTACCAGCGCCATCTGTTGGGAGTCGCGCCAGGGACTCTCGAAGTGACCGCGAAGATTCTGGACTGCCGCTATGCGGCTTACCGGAACTTTCTCGAACTGACGAGCACATGCGATATAGTATTCAGACATAAATAGTGATGTACGTAAATGTTCTATCTAGTTAAGTTAAAGTTAGTTGTGTTGTGGAGTCGTTTTTAATCCACACCCAAAAGGACCCAGAAAAACGCTACATGATATGGGAATTCATTTTCGGGACTTTTTTTGATTATTTCTTTCAATTTGTGATGTACGTAAACTCATAATACAGTTTTACTTCAGCCTTCAGTTATCTTGTCTCATTTGAGAAACTAACCGTGCTTCAATATGTTACAGTTCAAAATTGTTCAACACTTAAGCATTTAGAAAACTAGACAACCAAAAAAAAAATTTAGTAATGGTAACCATGTCCATGACCTTCAGCACAGCCTTCATGGTCATTTGGAAGTCAAGTGGGTATGCTCAAATGATGTCGTTCCTTTTTCACACCAGAAATGGAAAGAAGAGTTCTACGTCCCAATAGGACAGCACAGTTTTATTTTTCTTGATTTATTGAAAACCATCACCATGGAAATCAAGCGTCACTGAAAGGTCATTGAAATCAAAATTTTGTTTTTATTGTAACAGAAATAAATAGTACTACCAGCGCCATCTGTTGGGAGTCGCGCCAGGGACTCTCGTTCGAGATCGACGCGAAGTGACCGCGAGGATTCTGGACTGCCGCTATGCGGCTTACCGGAACTTTCTCGAACTGACGAGTACGTGCGATATAGTAGTCAGACATAAATAGTGGTGTACGTAAACGTTCTATCTAGTTAAGTTAAAGTTAGTTGTGTTGTGAAGTCGTTTTTAATCCACACCCACAAGGACCCAGAAAAACGCTACATGATATAGGAATTCTTTTTCGGGACTTTTTTTGATTATTTCTTTCAATTTGTGATGTACGTAAACTCATAATACAGTTTTACTTCAGCCTTCAGTTATCTTATCTCATTTGAGAAACTAACCGTGCTTCAATATGTTACAGTTCAAAATTGTTCAACACTTAAGCATTTAGAAAACTACACAACCAAAAAAAAAATTTAGTAATGGTAACCATGTCCATGACCTTCAGCACAGCCTTCATGGTCATTTGGAAGTCAAGTGGGTATGCTCAAATGATGTCGTTCCTTTTTCACACCAGAAATGGAAAGAAGAGTTCTACGTCCCATTAGGACAGCACAGTTTTATTTTTCTTGATTTATTGAAAACCATCACAATGGAAATCAAGCATCACTGAAAGGTCATTGAAATCAAAATTTTGTTTTTATTGTAACAGAAATAAATAGTACTACCAGCGCCATCTGTTGGGAGTCGCGCCAGTTCGATATCGACGCGAAGTGACCGCGAGGATTCTGGACTGCCGCTATGCGGCTTACCGGAACTTTCTCGAACTGACGAGTAGATGCGATATAGTAGTCAAACATAAATAATGGTGTACGTAAATGTTCTATCTAGTTAAGTTAAAGTTAGTTGTGTTGTGGAGTCGTTTTTAATCCACACCCAAAAGGACCCAGAAAAACGCTACATGATATAGGAATTCTTTTTTTTTGATTATTTCTTTCAATTTGAGTTGTAAGTAAACTCATAATACAGTTTTACTTCAGCCTTCAGTTATCTTGTCTCATTTGAGAAACTAACCGTGCTTCAATATGTTACAGTTCAAAATTGTTCAACACTTAAGCATTTAGAAAACTACACAACCAAAAAAAAAATTTAGTAATGGTAACCATGACCATGACCTTCAGCACAGCCTTCATGCCTTCATTTGGAAGTCAAGTGGGTATGCTCAAATGATGTCGTTCCTTTTTCACACCAGAAATGGAAAGAAGAGTTCTACGTCCCATTAGGACAGCACAGTTTTATTTTTCTTGATTTATTGAAAACCATCACAATGGAAATCAAGCATCACTGAAAGGTCATTGAAATCAAAATTTTGTTTTTATTGTAACAGAAATAAATAGTACTACCAGCGCCATTTGTTGGGAGTCGCGCCAGTTCGATATCGACGCGAAGTGACCGCCTTTCAATTTGTGTTGTACGTAAACTCATAATAGAGTTTTACTTCAGCCTTCAGTTATATTGTCTCATTTGAGAAAATAACCGTGCTTCAATACGTTCCAGTTCAAGATTGTTCAACAAGTTCGTTTATTTTTTCCTGGACCAAATTTGTAATTAAAAGTCAATGACGACATATTGATAAGTCGAAAATATGATTATTTTGATTACAAATAGTTGTATGTTGTTAATAATCAAGAAATTAAATGTTTCTTACAGATGTTTTAATGTTTTCTTTAATAACCTCCATGTTTTCTGGTCATTCAAATACATACCTTTGAACGGTAGTGTATATTGAAGGAAAATAGTGCTTGATGTTTTGACACCAGAAAATACGTACAAAATTAACGCAGAAGGTTTCCATTGGCAATGGAAGATTGGTTTTACGGTTACCTACCTGTTAGGGAAAATTTCGTTGTTTCCGACGTATCCTTCGTAGTATAAGAAGTTTTGGTCCAAAGGAATGTCACGACCATTCATGTAGATATGACTGATTAGTCCGGTACTTCTATCGATCTCAAATTGGGTATCCTAAAAAATATTCTAAATATAGCTACGAGGTATGTACGTTAAGTGATGAAACTGGCAAGGTAGTGTTCGATCTGGCAACACTGGAGGCACCAGGCGTGGTGGGGAGACAAGGGAACACGTGATCCAGAAGTTATTTGAATAAAAAAATTATTAATTAACAAGATTTCCCGCTCTATACATTTCCTGTGTAAAAAATAGGGTTTCTTTAAAAAACTGTCTTGACCTTCAAGTTACCTTGAGGATCATAGACAAGGTCACGTTGAAGATCACCAATGTATGAATGCTTTTAAATCATACAGCTTCGTGTCTGGAACTTTTTTCTCTAGGAAACATATTTTTCGAGATGATACTTTCCAGACACTCTGTATACATTCATGGATTGAAGCATGCCTTATTCGGGTTTCAATCGGCAAGTGTACAAATTTTTACGTTTCTCCGCATCGTGGTTCAGACTTGATGCTGACAGACTAGACAAACTTTTATATATACAGGATGTCCTTAGATTTAGCAATAATAATCATGTTTTTAGTATCATATTATAAGAAAGCCTCAAGTTAATAGGTGCCAAGACGCAAAAAGTGAGTCAGTACGACCTTGCCACCCTCCCCTCCCACAATTCCCTACTGCCTTCACCTTGATCATGATCTTTTCAATTACTTTGACAATGACCTTGATCACGACCTTGATCATGACATTTACAATTAATTTAACCTTGACCATTGCCTTGGTCATGACCTTGACAGTGTCATTGATGGTTACATTTACCTTGACTCTAAGTTTAACCATTACTTCGGTCATATCGTTGTCCATAACCTTGGCCTTGACATTGACTTTGACAGTGACCTTGAGTATTGCCTTGACTGTGACTATGACTTTGACGATGAATATTACCTTGAACTTGACCTTGACCATGTTCTCGACCATGACATTGGCACTGACTTTGATCTTTACCTTGATCATGACTTTGAAAACGACCTTGACAGTGCCATTGACCGTTACATTGACTTTGACCATGAGTTCGACCATGACCTTGATCAAGACGTTGCCCATAACTTTGACCATGATCGTGACTCTGACCATGACCTTGACTATGACCTTGACAATGATCATAACTTTGCCCTTGGTCCTGGCCTTGGCACCGACCTTGAGCTTGACCTAACAATGTTTGATTGTCATATTCGTTGGAAAAAATAACTCACCCCTTTGCTATCTCGTTCCATCTGATGTTGTGACACTGTATTTCCTGCGACTCTTTCCACATAGTAAGATTTGAATCCTAAAGGTGGCAAGTCCTTTGCTCTGAATATCAACTCGGCAGTTGCCTTGCTGTCTCGACCGGGAATCGTAAGTATTGCCGTTGCTATCGGTATCAGCTGGGTTTGGAGCTGTTCGCCTGCAGATCAACGAATTAGACTAACGAGATTGAGCGAAATGGAAAATCTACGAACATTTTATTGTTGCCTTCTGAATATTTCGAAAACGAGATATGATGTATGGTTGCTATAGAATAGCTACACTATTCAGAGACATAAGTTTGTAGCAGGCAAGCAAATGTTAAAACCACACAGATGAAATGGTAAATCAATTATATAATAAAAAAAACACATACACACTTCATGCAGGTTAGAATTTTTGAACCAATTATGTATATAGAATATTTAGTAACGTACCGTCAGGTCCTTTGACGCTGTAAGAAGTTCCCGTAACTGGCAACCTGACAAACTTTGTGACCGGTCTACTCAAGGGGTTGTAAACGGTCACGACGAATGGATCTTTTGATTCAGTCAATTCGCACTGACTGACATTCAGTAGAGGACACGTATTGAATTCTATTCTGGCCGGTTGAGGAGGAATCTTGTCTGCGCGGTTTGTCTTTTGTGTCACAATTTGGCTGAAATATAACAAGAAACCCGTAAACGATTTTTCTATCTCTTCTAGGTTTACTACAACTATTTAAAACTGTAATGACTCATACGCGTGATCAACACGTGATCAGAGCTCGATCCCGGCTTCCTTCCAGTACAGCCGTATAGCGTACGACATATGTCGTTTCTGTGGCTTTGCGGTGGTCAACAGCACAGACAGAGATGGAAATAATGGCTGATTGTTCTCCGCCGGTAGAACCAATGAAATCAAAGACGCGCCTCGACCGGCAGACTCATAGGCGTCGGCAACGCATTGGAACGTGTTTCGTCGAGCGATCGCATATTGTGTGTTTTTATAAGAATTGTTGTGTGATTGTTATTGTTGTGGTTTCTGTGGTTACTGTTTTGGTTATACTTAACCATGGAGAGTACAAATGGCACGAGTGGAAGTATAGACAGTGTTAGATCAGCAATGCCATTTGGTTGTTTTCAGGGTTTTCTCTCTTGGCAGTAAATTTGTTTGAGCTTATGGTTTTTCGCAGGCAAGAGTAGCAGTATCTGAATTGAAAATGTGAACGTATATACCTCAAGGCTGCATTGGTGATGATATGACACTCGTCGAACCCTCTGGACAACAATCTCGCGTAGTCGTGGGCTACGTGTTCCTTCTCGGTCCCGCTGACTGCATCGTGATGTTGCATCACACCCATAGCTTCTCGCATCACGTTCAAGTCAACTCGGTCTTCTGGGCCCAAGTCGGCTAACGCGTACAGTTGCTTGCAAACCTAACGGAAATGATACTTTCTTACTGTCCTCTAGAATTTCCCGAAATATCCGGCTCACCTGTAGATAGTTGTTTCCTTCTCTCTCAAATCGTTTCAGCGTCGGCCTAGACGTAAAGTACCCGGTCCAGTACGCGTGCGGATCAGAAGCATACGGAAAGAAATCGTCGGTCTTCACCAGCCATTTTTTATTTGTTTTAGTCGATTCTTCGTGGATAGCTTTCACGTAACAGGATGGTGTCGAATAGATCAGGTTGTATTTGGAACCAGTTTTCTGCCTTAGATTTGCATAACTGCAACAACAAAAGAAATATTTTAAGACCCAAACTCAAAAAAGGAGTCCTTCCTTTTCCACACCAGAACTGGAAAGATCAAAAGCAAATCAAAAACGTTGGACAGCACAGTTGCGAGCTTTGCGGGCGTCACGACAACGTGATCTTGACCTCGACCTTGGACCTAGACTTTGATCTTGATCTTGACAATATTCAAGGTCATTTAAAAGTCAAGTGAATATTATCAAATCGAGCCATTCCTTTTCCACACCAGAATTGGAAAGAACAAAAGCAAGTCAAAAACGTTGGTCAGCACAGTTGCGAGCTTTGCGGGCGTTACCCCAACGTGATCTTGACCTCGACCTTGGACCTATACTTTGGTCTTGATTTTGACAAACTTCAAGGTCATTTGAAAGTCAAGTGAATATCATCAAATTGAGCCCTTCCTTTTCCACACCAGAATTGCAAAGATCAAAAGCAAATCAAAAACGTTGGACAGCACAGTTGCAAGCTTTGCGGGCGTTACCCCAACGTGATCTTGACCTCGACCTTGGACCTAGACTTTGGTCTTGATTTTGACAATCTTCAAGGTCATTTGAAAGTCAAGTGAATATTATCAAATTGAGCCCTTCCTTTTCCACACCAGAATTGGAAAGATCAAAAGCAAATCAAAAACGTTGGACAGCACAGTTGCGAGCTTTGCGGGCGTTACCCCAACGTGATCTTGACCTCGACCTTGGACCTAGACTTTGTTCTTGATTTTGACAATCTTCAAGGTCATTTGAAAGTCAAGTGAATATTATCAAATTGAGCCCTTCCTTTTCCACACCCGAATTGGAAAGATCAAAAGCAAATCAAAAACGTTGGACAGCACAGTTGCGAGCTTTGCGGGCGTTACCCCAACGTGATCTTGACCTCGACCTTGGACCTAGACTTTGGTCTTGATTTTGACAATCTTCAAGGTCATTTGAAAGTCAAGTGAATATTATCAAATTGAGCCCTTCCTTTTCCACACCAGAATTGGAAAGATCAAAAGCAAATCAAAAACGTTGGACAGCACAGTTGCGAACTTTGCGGGCGTTACCCCAACGTGATCTTGACCTCGACCTTGGACCTAGACTTTGGTCTTGATTTTGACAAACTTCAAGGTCATTTGAAAGTCAAGTGAATATTAAATTAAAAACGTTGGACAGCACAGTTGCGAGCTTTGCGGGCGTTACCCCAACGTGATCTTGACCTCGACCTTGAGCTAGACTTTGATCTTGATTTTGACAATCTTCAAGGTCATTTGAACGTCAAGTGAATATTATCAGATTGAGCCCTTTTCACACCAGAATTGGAAAGAGGAAGAAATTCTACGTCCGAATAGAACCTTACCCATGAACAATAGCAAAAATGTTAGACAGCACAGCTAAGGTTTGTGAGCGCTACCTAAAGGTGATCTTGGCCTTGACCATAACCATGACAATGAACTGGACCATAACCTTGACTTTAGCCCTGACATTGGCATTGACCTTGACTACGCCCATAACCTTGAAAATGACATTTAATAACCTCATCATCATTACCTTCATCACAACCTTTAAGGTCATTTAAAGGTCAAGTAAATATTTAGCTTCTAGCAAAACTGTTGGACGGCACAATTGTGAGGTTCGTAGGTGTTACCGCAAGGTGACCTTTACCATGTCCATGACCATGACAATGACTTCGACCTCTACCATGACCATTGCAATGACCGTGACTATAACGATGATCTTGACATTGACCTTGACTACCTTGACCTCGAATTCCCAATGACATTATCCCCACTTAAGCATTTAGAAAACTACACAACCAAAAAAAAATTTAGTAATGGAATACCATGTCCATGACCTTCAGCACAGCCTTCAAGGTCATTTGGAAGTCAAGTGGGTATGCTAAAATGATGTCGTTCCTTTTTCACACCAGAATTGGAAAGAAGAGTTCTACGTCCCAATATGACAGCACAGTGGCGAGGTTGGCGGGAGTTATCCCACTGACCTTGAACCTACCTTTGACTATTGTCATGACCTTGACAATGACACGACCTTCAGAACAACCTTATGCCAAAGTGGCCTTGACCATGACCTGGACTAAAACCTGGACCATGACCATGGTAATAAACTTGAGCATAATTTTGACCACAACCTTGACCATAAAATTGATCATGTCCTTGGCTATGACCGTGCCATGCCCTTGCAGGACCTTGACCGTGACTTTGTCTGCGACCTTGGTTATGACCATGACGATGACGTTGGCTATGACGATGAACTTGACCAAAACATTGATCATGTCCTCTTATTTTCACCCTGGAATTGGAAAAAGCAGTAAATGTAACGTGTGACGTTGACCTCAGTGGAGGTCATGTCGATCTTAAATCTTATTTGTGAGGCAACCGCTTGCTAAATCACACAACTGAGCTATTAAACTCCTTTGCTAGAGCAGATTGTTTTTCATGTCTTTATTTGACCCTGAGATTGCCCTGAAGGTCATGGACGAGATCACGCGACGTTATATTTCTTCCTCGTTCCAACTCCGGTGCATCCATTTGAAAATATTCGATCGACATTGAAATGACCTTGAGGGTGCGGTCAGTGTAATACTCAAGGTCATGTTACTCCCTCCAGACTCTACAAATTTTATTTGGACCTTTAGATGAAGAGATTAAAATGGGATATAGATGTGCATCCATTTGAAAATATTCGATCGACATTGAAATGACCTTGAGGGTGCGGTCAGTGTAATACTCAAGGTCATGTTACTCCCTCCAGACTCTACAAATTTTATTTGGACCTTTAGATGAAGAGATTAAAATGCGATATAGATGTAATGACTTCTCGCCATGGAGTTTCAAGATTTCAACTAGCCAGTTATGAATTTTGAGGTGCAAATTAGAGAATTTCACATGCAGTCATGAAAATATTAGTTAAACCCCAAAATGACTCAACAGCACCTCGGCAGGTACTTACTAGATCAGCTTATCTAAGTTCTTAAACCACTTTTCCGCAACTTGGTAGTTGAAATCGTCCCCCATGGTGATGATAAGATTGTGTGTCTCGTAGACCTTAGTCATGTTATCAAGGTGTGCGAAAAATTGGTCAACCTGAAACATAAAAACATTACCTAATGAGCTTGTCCATGTTTTTGAACCAAATTTCTGCGTGTTGATAGTTGAAGTCTCCTCCCATCGGTACCAGGATGTTGCTGGTTGAATAGGTTTTTGAATGGTTGTTCAAGTAACCGAAGAACTCGTCTATCTGTTTTGAAAAAATCCAATATAAACACATACAGCGTGTTCCAACGAAAATCGAAGGTATTTTTATGAGCAAATTGGAAAAGATACCAAATACCGCTATTCGATATCTCCTTCCGATCCAAAAATATCGAGATTTGAATTTGGCTAAGCTTTTCCAGTTTACTCCAATGATCGCTTGAACACCCTGTATATAAATTTATCTTTTTACCCTTTTGTCAACATTGTAGTCGTAGCTGTCTTTATCGTCTATGATTGGGTCGTCACTGCAAAGAATATCGAAACAGAATCCAGAAGGCGCAATGTATATGTTGTACAGCACCCCCGTGAAAATGTTGCTAGATTCACCTAAAAAAAGATCGTTAAAATATACGGAACGGTTATAAATATCGATCACGAAGTTTACCTAAGCTTTGACTAGACTTCCAAACCATCTCAGGGGTTTTCGACGCTAGCCTGAAGTGCTTATCCTGGTAATCTATTCTGCCTAAAAGTACTCCGTCAAAGCCCAATTGGGCGAATATCGAGGCCATTTCTCTGCTGTGTCCGAATGGATCGATCTGCCAACCCATTTTCGGCCGGCCACACTCACCAAAAGAGTCGTTCAGTTTTCTGAAATAACAACATTAATAGCTTTGGACCGGAATATCATTTGAACAAGAAAATAATACAATAAGAACCTATACTCTTTACTCTATAGGGTGTCGCAGAAGTCGACGTCAAGCCGCATACTGTTATATCCTGTCTAGAAAAGAAATAACAAGTAGTGCCATTTGGCCAATCAAAACTTCGGAGCTCCGGAGCAAAGGGTGAACAAGGATAGGAAGTCGCAGATGTGAATCACAACCCTCTAACAATGATAGATATATCGTTTTGGAGTGTTAATACAAAAAATCTCCACAACCCGACAAATCTCCAGCACTGGGTGTGAAATTTATTCACTAACGCAGGTTGTTGCCGCCGAACTGCTCCACTAGAGCACCGGAAATAGCCTCGTTCTCGTATTTAAGGTCGACCGTAATTACAAATGATTTTAACCGCACAACGACAATTCTATAACGAAACAATTCCCGCACGCCCTCTATTGTCGAACAGAAGCATCAACGACATCCTGGCAATGACCTTTAAAGAGATGGGGAGTAGAGCCAGTGGCGGCTCGTGGCTAAATAAAACAGGTGTTCTGCAAACCCGAACTTACCTATTTTTTATAAGTCGGTTCGATCCTGCGCTCCTTCTTAGCAGCAAATCTGTCGATCACCTTCGCGTTGAAATTTTCCATGGTCGAAATAAATTCCACAACCCGGCAAATTTCTAGCACTAGATGTGAAATTTATTCACTAACGCAGGTTGTGGCCGCTGAACTGCTACACGAGAGCACCGGAAATAACCCCGTTCTCGTATTTAAGGTCGACGGTAATTACAAATGATTTTAACCGCACAACGACAATTCTATAACGAAACAATTCCCGTTCCGTGGCCATCCCTGCGTTGACCATACCGCACGCCCTTTATTTTCGAACAGAAACATCAACCACATCCTGGCAATGACCTATAAAGAGATGGGGAGTAGAGTCAGTGGCGGCTCGTGGCAAAATAAAACAGGTGTTCTGCAAATCCGAACTTACCTATTTTTTATATGTCAGTTCGATCCTGCGCTCCTTCTTAGCAGCAAATCTGTCGATCACCTTCGCGCTGAAATTTTCCATGGTCGAAATAAATTCCACAACCCGGCAAATCTCCAGCACTGGGTGTGAAATTTATTCACTAACGCAGGTTGTGGCCGCTGAACTGCTACACGAGAGCACCGGAAATAACCCCGTTCTCGTACGGTAACTACAAATGATTTTAACCGCACAACGACAATTCTATAACGAAACAATTCCCGTTCCGTGGCCATCCCTGCATTGACCATACCGCACGCCCTTTATTATCCGAACTTACCTATTTTTTTATGTCAGGTCGATCCTGCGCTCCTTCTTGGCAGCAAATTTGTCGTCGATCACCTTCATGTTGAAATTTTCCATGGTCGACATAAATTCCACAACCCGGCAAATCTCCAGCACTAGGTGTGAAATTTATTCACTAACGCAGGTTGTGGCCGCTGTACTGCTACACGAGAGCACCGGAAATAAGCCGGTTCTCGTATTTAAGGTCGACGGTAATTACAAATGATTTTAACCGCACAACGACAATTCTATAACGAAACAATTCCCGTTCCGTGGCCATCCCTGCGTTGACCATACCGCACGCCCTTTATTTTCGAACAGAAACATCAACCACATCCTGGCAATGACCTTTAAAGAGATGGGGAGTAGAGTCAGTGGCGGCTCGTGCAAAATAAAACAGGTGTTCTGCAAATCCGAACTTACCTATTTTTTATATGTCAGTTCGATCCTGCGCTCCTTCTTGGCAGCAAATTTGTCGTCGATCACCTTCACGTTGAAATTTTCCAAGATCGAAATAAATTCCACAACCCGCAAATCTCCAGCACTAGGTGTGAAATTTATTCACTAACGCAGGTTGTGGCCGCTGAACTTCTTCACGAGAGCACCGGAAATAAGCCCGTTCTCGTATTTAAGGTCGACGGTAATTACAAATGATTTTAACCGCACAACGACAATTCTATAACGAAACAATTCCCGTTCCGTGGCCATCCCTGCGTTGACCATACCGCACGCCCTTTATTTTCGAACAGAAACATCAACCACATCCTGGTAATGACCTTTAAAGAGATGGGGAGTAGAGTCAGTGGCGGCTCGTGGCAAAATAAAACAGGTGTTCTGCAAAACCGAACTTACCTATTTTTTATATGTCAGTTCGATCCTGCGCTCCTTCTTGGCAGCAAATTTGTCGTCGATCACCTTCACGTTGAAATTTTCCATGGTCGAAATAAATTCCACAACCCGGCAAATCTCCAGCACTGGGTGTGAAATTTATTCACTAACGCAGGTTGTGGCCGCTGAACTGCTACACGTGAGCACCGGAAATAACCCCGTTCTCGTATTTAAGGTCGACGGTAATTACAAGTGATTTTAACCGCACAACGACAATTCTATAACGAAACAATTCCCGTTCCGTGGCCATCCCTGCGTTGACCATACCGCACGTCCTCTATTGTCGAACAGAAACATCAACCACATCCTGGCAATGACCTTTAAAGAGATGGGGAGTAGAGTCAGTGGCGGCTCGTGGCAAAATAAAACAGGTGTTCTGCAAATCCGAACTTACCTATTTTTTATATGTCAGTTCGATCCTGCGCTCCTTCTTAGCAACAAATCTGTCGATCACCTTCGCGTTGAAATTTTCCATGGTCCAAATAAATTCCACAACCCGGCAAATCTCCAGCACTGGGTGTGAAATTTATTCACTAACGCAGGTTGTGGCCGCTGAACTGTTACACGAGAGTACCGGAAACAACCCCGTCCTCGTACGGAAATTACAAATGATTTTAACCGCACAACGACAATTCTATAACGAAACAATTCCCGTTCCGTGGCCATCCCTGCGTTGACCACACCGCACGTCCTCTATTGTCGAACAGAAACATCAACCACATCCTGGCAATGACCTTTAAACAGATGGGGAGTAGAGTCAGTGGCGGCTCGTGGCAAAATAAAATAGGTTTTCTGCAAATCCGAACATACCTATTTTTTATGTCAGTTCGATCCTGCGCTCCTTCTTGGCAGCAAATTTGTCGATCATCTTCCCGTTGAAATTTTCTATGGTCGAAATAAATTCCACAACCCGGCAAATCTCCAGCTCTGGGTGTAAAATTATTCACTAACGCAGGTTGTGGCCGTTGAACTGCTACACGAGAGCACCGGAAATAATCCCGTTCTCGTATTTAAGGTCGACGGTAATTACATATGATTTTAACCGCACAACGACAATGCTATAACGAAACAATTCCCGTTCCGTGGCCATCCCTGCGTTGACCATACCGCACGCTCTCTATTGTCGAACAGAAACATCAACCACATCCTGGCAATGACCTTTAAAGAGATGGGGAGTAGAGTCAGTGGCGGCTCGTGGCAAAATAAAACAGGTGTTCTGCAAATCCGAACTTACCTATTTTTTATATGTCAGTTCGATCCTGCGCTCCTTCTTGGCAGCAAATTTGTCGTCGATCACCTTCACGTTGAAATTTTCCATGGTCGAAATAAATTCCACAACCCGGCAAATCTCCAGCACTGGTTGTGAAATTTATTCGCTAACGCAGGTTGTGGCCGCTGAACTGCTACACGAGAGCACCGGAAATAAGCCCGTTCTCGTATTTAAGGTCGACGGTAATTACAAATGATTTTAACCGCACAACGACAATTCTATAACGAAACAATTCCCGTTCCGTGGCCATCCCTGCGTTGACCATACCGCACGCCCTCTATTGTCGAACAGAAACATCAACCACATCCTGGCAATGACCTTTAAAGAGATGGGTAGTAGAGTCAGTGGCGGCTCGTGGCAAAATAAAACAGGTGTTCTGCAAATCCGGACATACCTATTTTTTATATGTCAGTTCGATCTTGCGCTCCTTCTTGGCAGCAAATTTGTCGTCGATCACCTTCACGTTGAAATTTTCCATGGTCGAAATAAATTCCACAACCCGGCAAAACTTCAGCACTGGGTGTGAAATTTATTCACTAACGCAGGTTGTGGCCGCTGAACTGCTACACGAGAGCACCGGAAATAACCCCGTTCTCGTACGGTAATTACAAATGATTTTAACCGCACAACGACAATTCTATAACGAAACAATTCCCGTTCCGTGGCCATCCCTGCGTTGACCATACCGCACGCCCTCTATTGTCGAACAGAAACATCAACCACATCCTGGCAATGACCTTTAAAGAGATGGGGAGTAGAGTCAGTGGCGGCTCGTGGCAAAATAAAACAGGTGACCAATATGACAATACCGCCGAGGACCGAGCACCGAACGACCAATCAGATATCGTACTTCGCATTAGATCTGTATAACTTGCAGCACATGCTTATGCTTAAATCGCGCATGTGATTTTGTAGAGAGAGACAAAAGCAAGCGCGTGCGGCTTGTGTCGAAGTAGTGCACAGACCCTTTTCAAGTGGCCCATGAATAATGTTACGCTGCGGTCGCGACGAAAATAACAAGTACACAATTGGTCGATTATAATGCTTTCTCAGTACAAAACAGACTCGACGCCGTGTCTTGCGCGGGCAGCGTTGCCGGTATTGTTTCTATTTGTGTGATAGCACGGAAAATAAATAATGATCAAATTACTACTGCTTTTTTCTGTTAAGACAAAAGTTTTGCTGGCTCTGCAGAACTTAAGGGCCAGCCGCCCCTGAGTAAAGTAGATCCTCCACCATAGAACAGCAGAAGTGTTTTACGATAAAAATAAAATGCAATATTTGTAAGAACTGGTATAAAATTATTATTCTAAATAAGAAAACCGTTGTAATAATTTACTTATATATAAAAAACTTAAATATAAAAGAATTTAAGTCGTGTACTATTCAATTTATAGTCTGAAAAAAATCTTCCAGTTCCTGCTACTACAAATTTCGATTTTTTCTTAGACTTGACGTCGATTTCTGGTCGGTTTAGTTATCTTCTTTTCAGTGAGAAGATATACGTAGATGATAGATACAAACTACAATAGAAACCAAAATACCATCTTACGCAAAGTAATTATAAATGATATTGTTAAATATAATTGTACCTGAGACCCCATGCCATTTGGTCAATGATTGACTGATAATGAGTGGCCGCTTCGTCATTCATGCTCCATCCTCCACTGATAAATTCTAAGCGTCCACTATTCACAAACCTTCTGACCTGAGCTTTGACTGTATCGTGCTGTTTTATCCACCATTTCCAGAAGAAAGCTGTTTCCACGTATATAAACCTAGAGAATGATGGAATAATGTTAATAAACGTCTTCTTTTATAACTGTAATAATAAATTACAAATGGGCAACAGATAGAACACAATGGATTTAAGGAGCAATAATAGGATAAATTCCAGAAGTTCAACTGATGTAGAAAAATTACCAGCCCCAAATATCGTTTGCGCCCCAAAAGACGAAATCCTGAATCCGCCCTTGGATGAAGTTATTAATAGTCATAAATGCATTTTATCAAAAGATATGTAGATAAAGTGATAAGTACCTTCTGTTTGGATCTTTAGCTAAGGCATCTATAACAGACTCAATGATATATTGTACTCCAGCATTTTGAGTCTGAGTTCGACCTGAAAATAAGTTGTTAGAGAAAATGTTTCAGAGTATGAAAATGAAGTGAAAATGCAACAACCTATAATGTATTTTTTTGAAAAGCATGGGAACAGTGATCATACTCGTAATTGATACTCCTGAAATATGAATAAAATTCGGTATGAAATTTAATTAATTATCAATAACTCAAGATTTAATACGTCTATCATTACGGCTACAATATTTTATGTGTTAATTTATAGCGACTTGTTTTTCATTTAAAATCTTACTTTGTAAGAAAATATCCGGCATGTTCTGTATCTGTAACATGCATCTTGTTGTCTCTACTATTTTTAAATCTAGTTCCCAAAGCGATTGCGTGGTTTTAATCTATATGTTCACTTACTTCCGTAATAATATTGGTCGAGAGTTTTAAGCCAGCCGACGTCATCGTGAGTATGTGGCACTAAGTGAACATTGATAAATCCTTCTTTGACCGGATGACAGGACTGGAAACAATTTGAGAATTAAAAAACGCTGAAGAAAATAACAAACCGTTCTGTGTGACGGTGGATCCTTCGGAGTCGCGACTATGACGACTACAGAGTTTTACTACTCGTCAAGCCGGAGGGCGTTACGACCTACAGTATATTCAGATAAGAGATAGACCGGACATAAACAAGACCACGTGATCATCGAACGCTGTAACATTCGGCAGGGACGTATTAAGAGTCACGCAGTACATATTTTAGATAGTAGATGCTGCTTTGCGTAACTTTGTAGTAAATTAGCACAATTCGATGTGTATACGATTGGTGATGGATATAGGATCATGTGGGGGTGGGGTAAGAAATATATAGTGATGTTAATATATATAAGGGTTTCAAAATTTTCGCTTCGAGTTCCAGCTTCGGATGCCGCCTGATGTTTGGTGAAATACAGTCGAATATAATCTCAAAATGGCGTTTAAATTAGCCTAAATTAAAAATAATCGTATATCTCTTAAAATTGCTTTTAGAATATTGATTAGTATATTTTTTGATTTCTAGGTAAATATGTAACCAAATTAAAACGTTCAAAACGTAAAAAAATGTGCATGGTTGAACATTGTCAGAAAGTAGATTCTTGAATAGGTTTTGCCAAAATGGGTTCAAAAATGTCAATAATTAATTAAAAAATACAGTAGCTTTATAATTACTTATAACTTACCGAATTTGATGAACGACATCTTTTATTGGAAAGATGAGCTTGATGAACTTTCATCATCGCTACTGCCTGAAGCACCAACGTCAATAATGAATGGCTCGACTTGTTCCTCTAAAATATTGTCCAGTTCCCACATTCTCTTTTCAACTTTGTCCTTCACGTGCTTAATACAGTTTTCCCATTTTTGCGCTGTTATTAATTCTACTGCTTCTTTGAAAAGTCCTTTGAGGTCTCAAAATTTAAAAGTTGTATTGTGCTTAGCTATATAATTTTTAACCTCTGCCCATATGAGCTCAATGGGATTGGTATGGAGGTAAACGGAGCACAGTTTTATTTTGACTTGCTGCCATTTCGTCAATGGCGTATTTTTGATATTCTGCCTTGTGATCCTTGTCAATACTTAATAATTGTATTTTCAGCATTGCTTCTTCAAATTTGATATTTTTCGATATTGAAATATCGAAAACACATAAAAACATGGCTTAAAAAAGTTCTAACAAATGAAAATGACAATAAAACATCCACGCATTTTATCGAAAGTTATAAAAGTTTTGTTACTTGTAATATGTTTTATCTGCCCCCTGGAATTAATGTTTAGAACCTTGTTCCCAAGGTTTGAAAAACATCCGATTGTTGTCTATTACTCGTATTTACCTGCTGGATTTTTTAATCCGGTGGACAGTCCATCTAGAAAGGCCCTCCTGGATGAAGTTACAGAATCATCAACCCATACTTTACTTGTAGTGTGTCCTGCGTTTACCCACGTTTCATCACGGTAATAAATCTTCCTGTTTTGATTTCTATATTTCCCAATTTTTGTTAAATAATCCCTCCTTCATAGCACAATTTCTTCTCTATCCAGTAGTAAACTATTACGACCCCATTTTTTCCATTTGAAATTTAAATGCTTCAGTAACGCATGGAAAGTTGATCGTTTGAAATTTGGCAACGTTGTATCTCCATTTACCTCCTGCAGTACTTTATCTATAGTAGGTATTTCATTCCTAAAGAAGAATTCATGCACTTTCGTCCTAATCGCATGCTTATCAGCTTCATCCAATGATTTAACAATACTTTTGCGATGTTTACTGGTCATTGGCTCAGAAAAGGTGTGATTTTTTTTGTATTGTCTTAACACATTAAACACTGATGCGCGACACACCCCAACTTTGTGAGAAACCTTCACAACAATTTATTTGATGGTTGATGCCTCGTTCTCCTCGCGCTCGATCTTATATACTTATGTATATTCAAAATGACCTCTTTCATTTCTGCACTCAGGTGTCTTTTTTTAGAGCGTTTCCTAGGTGGACTACAGGAGTTTACAACGTCATCGGCAGTATCTGTACTACTGGGCATTTTGCGCAAGCAGTTGATAACAATAACAATCAATAACAAGGTATAACAATAACAACGACAAACTCAACAACTTAATAAGATAACAAACGAAAACGTCCAAAGAAATATCAAATTGCAATGATGCACACGACATACGTAACACGTCTGAACCTGAATGTGACTCTGCCTTGATACGACTGCTCTGCCGCTCTGCATAGGCATTTAATTGCGAATTGACCAATGAGGGCTCCTGTTTTACGTCGAGACGGCGGCGTTAGCGTGAAAATCACCCGAACCTTTTGTTTACATCCGGTCTATCTCTTATCTGAATATACTGTAGTTTGACCCCTAATATTCATGATTTTCGAATCTCGTGTTTGATTCCTATAATATCAACAGTTCTGAAGAAAACAAGCGAACCAGTATTCGGAAACGGTTCGACAATTTATAATACTGTACCAAAACAATGAATAGTAAAACTGTGTAGCAGCAATTAGATTCACTTTCAAATATCATTTTGGGACCAAGCAAATTGCACATTTTTCTACGTTACCGAATAAGACAAGACAAAGATTTTCAAAGCGAAGTTACCTGGTATCCACATGTTTTCTCTGATGCTGCAGGTGCCGCTCTTGAAGATGTAGGAAAAGCGAAGAGCGATATTAACAGGAATAGCCGCCACATGTTGACTTATCTGCTCGTTCCTCTCAAAAATAATCTAATTCTGGAGGAAGGCAAATAAATACAATTTGTTATCAATGTGGTAGCAATCATCAATCATAATATGCATTTAGAATGGGATTATCGCTGCTGACAGATCAGCTACAAAATACTCATGTTTTGAAATGTTCCTACCACTGATAATAATGGATAACGGTTTGTTCAGTGATGAGAGTATTGACTGTTATAGATAATTTTTGTACGTACTGTTCAGGAAAACAACTGGCATACAGGGTGTCCCAGAAGTATGTGTTTTGAAAATTATAGGTCTTTGAAAAAAACATAGAAATTTCACACCCTACGGCAGTCTGTCAACTCCTGTTACTACAAACATTAACTTTTTTTGGATTTTATTTTTACAATGTAATGATGAATAATGCATTTTCAAACTGGTGTCTCAACCTTACTGCCAATTTTTCTCGTTCAGGAAAAATTGCCACTTATTTCCCAACCAAGTATTCCAAAGTAAAACTTTGCTCAACTTTAACTGGCTGTACTGGAAAAAAATGTACTAGGAGAGTTTGGCAAGTAACCTTAAAAGTTGGCGCATTTATTAAGGATTCCAAAATGGTATAATACTTAGAAGATTACTCGTTAAGGACCCTTAAGGATAACTGTTTGCACAACAGTGGGCGTCAAAATGCTGCTGATGATGATTTACCTTTACAGCAAATGCTCAAACTGTTTTCCTTCAGCCGCAATACACGCTCGACATCTTAAAAAAGATCGGGTTATTAAACGAGCGAATCCACGGTTATTAACAAACTCAGCTGCTTCCAATAGTCTTTGCCGTAGCTCAGATACATTTTGAATCGGCTTGAAATACACTTTTTCTTTTACAGTTCCCCAGTAAAAGAAATCTAACGGATTCAAATCTGGTGACCGGACTGGCCACGGTATTGTACCAGACCGCCCTATCCATCTGCCTGGAAAGCTTTGATCAAAATACTCTCTCACTGAGAGTGCATAGTGCGCTGGGCAGCCATCATGCTGAAACCACATGTCCCTGTAAATACTCAGTGGCACGTCCTCCAATAGATTTTCTAAATGATTTTGCAAAAAACCTAAATAAACCTCAGCAGTCAAAGTCTCTGGGAACTCAAATGGACCGATTATTTTACCATTTAAAATTCCTGTCCAATGGTTTATCTTGAAGCGATATTGAGATTTATCTTCTCTCATCAAATGTAGGTTTGCTACGTGCCACTCGTGTAAGTTATGCAGGTTCATGTACCCATCTTTCTTAAATGTGGTCTCATCTGACTATAAAATTTTTTCAAAGAACCGTGGATCTTCCCTGTGTCTTTCTAACATTGTGCGACAAAAAGCAACTCGGGGCTCATAATCCCGGGGCAGAAGAGCTTGAACACGCTGTACGTGGTATGGATGAAGCACGTTTTTTTGCAAGATTCTATGGGCTGTGCTTTTGGGCACACCTGTTTTTAGTTCTATTGCACGCACTGAAGTACTCGGCTCTTCTTCGACAGCTCCTAGCACCACGTCTTCGTAAGGAAGGAAAGACCTTCCCTCACCGTGTGATTGGTTTGGTAGTTGGCCCTCTGAGAACAGTAAGCGGTGCACATTTGTGAACACTCGATGATCTGGATGACGAGCTGCATTCGGGTACCTCTTACAGTGAAGTCTCGCTGCAGCACTAGCGTTGCATCTGCATTCCCCATAAATGAGGTGCATGTTAGCATATTCTTGTACGGTGTACACGGACATAGCGGCACTGCACAATCACACTATCAAAGATAGTCTAAGGAAAGCAAATGTTGTTTTGAAGAGCAATTAAACAGTCCAAATCCAAATCACAAGCGATCAACAGTCCAGTTCACGAATCCAAAATTAGTAACAGTACGAAATCAACAAGCACGAACATGTAAAGATGCGCAGTAAACGAAGGAGTACTGATCGGTATCAAAGTGTGCAATAGCAAGTAAGTGATGTGCTTCATCCATACCACATACAGCGTGTTCAACCTCTCCTGCCCTGGGATTATGAGCCCCGAGTTGCTTTTTGTCGCACAATGTTAGAAAGACACAGGAAAGATCCACAGTTCTTTGAAAAAATTTTATGGTCGGATGAGACCACATTTAAGAAAGATGGGTACATGAACCTGCATAACTTAACACGAGTGGCACGTAGCAAACCCACATTTGAAGAGAAGATAAATCTCAATATCGCTTCAAGATAAACCATTGGACAGGAATTTTAAATGGTAAAATAATCGGTCCGTTTGAGTTCCCAGAGACTTTGACTGCTGAAGTTTATTTGGATTTTTTGAAAAATCATGTACAAAATGTATTGGTGGACGTGCCACTGAGTATTTAGAGGGACATGTGGTTTCAACATGATGGCTGCCCAGCGCACTATGCACTCTCAGTGAGAGAGTATCTCGATCAAAACTTTCCAGGCAGATGGATAAGGCGGTCTGGTACAATACCGTGGCCAGCCCGATCACCTGATTTGAATCCTTTAGATTTTTTGACTGGGGAACTGTAAAAGAAAAAGTGTATTTCAAGCCGATTCAAAATGTAGCTGAGCTACGGCAAAGACTATTGGAAGCAGCTGCGTTTGTTAATAACCGTGGATTTGCTCGTTTAATAACCCGATCTTTTTTAAGAAGATGTCGAGCGTGTATTGCGGCTGAAGGAAAACAGTTTGAGCATTTGCTGTAAAGGTAAATCATCATCAGCAGCATTTTGACGCCCACTGTTGTGCAAACACTTATCCTTAAGGGTCCTTGTGCGTTTTCATAATCGCTGTTTAATTAGGAAATTTTGAAAAATTTTCATCAGTTTTTCTTCAAATAAAAATTGTGCATAAATTAACGAGTAATCTTCTAAGTATTATACCATTTTGGAATCGTTATTAAATGCGCCAACTTTTAAGGTTACTTGCCAAACTCTCGTAGTACATTTTTTTCCAGTACAGCCAGTTAAAGTTGAGCAAAGTTTTACTTTGGAATACTTGATTGGGAAATAACTGGCAATTCTTCCTGAACGAGAAAAGTTGGCAGTAAGGTTGAGACACCAGTTTGAAGATGCATTATTCATCATTACATTGTAAAAATAAAATCCAAAAAAAGTTAATATTTGTAGTATCAGGAGTTGGCAGACTGCCGCAGGGTGTGAAATTTCTATATCTTTTTCAAAGACCTATAATTTTCAAAACACATACATAAAATTTTTTTAATTTTTTCCTGATAGCTGTTATGACTTTGCCTATCACCCGGTTTCGGCTTGACGTCGACTTCTGGGACACCCTGTATACAGGATGTCAAAAAAGCCCACTTAATTGAATATTTCTGGACCACACAAATGATATGGAAAAAATTTATTTTGCAAATTATTTTTTTATAATTTTTCTTACTAGTTATGTGAATGTTATTTAGTATTTGTTGTTGTTACGTAATTAGTAATAAGAAATTATAAGAAAAAATAATTTCAAAATAAGGGCCCTTCAAGTATTACATGAGCATTATGGGGGAGCGGGGAGTTCTTTGCTTTGCTTATTTTAGTTGACATGGGGGTAGGGGAGTCTAGATGATGATTACGTCATCGGTAGTTATTTACTTTTTTACACGAATGGCAACCGTCACATTGTCTTTGCTTGAAAACGAAACGCATTTTCGGGGATTCCCGCAAATAATGCATACGTTTAGTGAACAGCGCGCGGTAATTCCCCTACTCGCTTTAGAACCGAGTAGGGGAATTACCGCGCGGTGTTCACTTGTCTAAATTTCGTCTATCAGTGTATTGTTTCGTTCGGATACTATAGCGAGTAGACGTATTGTAAGCATAGTAAAGCAAGTTAACATTTGTGTTACCATTGATTCCATTAGCCAAAGTTTAATGTTTAAATAAGATGTCGTTTCACATAGACAAATCCAAGTAGTTTGAAAGTTTTCAAAAATCTCATACAAGTACGAAAGTACAAAATGTACAAAAGTTAGTTAACGAAGAGTGGCGAAATTACAAATTAGAAGCAAAATCCGACAAGGAACTATAATGTATTTACACCCAAGATAGAATGGATGCGTGAGTGCCGCATTCAGGGCTACCTCCGAATGATGGACTACCGCCAACGTGTTGTAAAACAAAGACGACAGTATTTAACAGAAACAGAAACTTAACAAATTACTCAAATACACTTAACAACAACAACAGCAAAAACCAAGCAAGGTGAATACGAAAACGCGAGCACGCAGTGATACACGCGACGGATACTTGTAATAAATCTGCTTACGTAATACTTGAACGGCCCCATATACCTTGTGTGGTCGAGCGATATTCAAATGAGTGGATTTTTTTTCTCGAAAACCAAGCAAGATACGGAAAAATTCAAGGTACAAAAAAGGTGTATGTCTGCTTGCTTAAGCCAAAGAGCATAATAAAAATTGCACGAAAGTTAGTAGCGTTCATTTTTTCGTCTTGTATAAACCTTTTGTCTTAAAATTACTGAAAGAATCGTCTAATAGCTCGTTAAGTAAAAATATGACGAATCTAACTTAAATTCTGATAACTGATATTCAAATAAACGCTACAAGTAAAATTTCAGTCAAATTCAGTATGTCGTAACTTTTTTATTTTTAACTCGATTTTATACAGGGTGACTTCGAAGTTGAGCCATTTATTTTAACAGTGAGTAGATCTGATCAAAAGAAATGTTTTTTTCCTTTACCATTTTTCTGGTAAAATTAAAGTAACAAAGTTATAGCCCTTTGGAGGTTTGAGTACCGCCCTGTCTCAATAATAATATTATGTGCTCGTGTTTGGCAACAACGGATATAATCCGCCTTATCGGTTCATCGCATCGGAAACAAAAAAGCGAAAGAATTTGGAACGATGTTTTTACAATTATTCTATTCAGTTGTATACAGTCAGTGTCAGTCGGTAACGCGTGAGTGAATAGTGGTGTCTGTTGCGTGGCTCAAACGAAATGAAAAATGGCACATGTTTATGCGGATCGGTTCCCCAATCGAGTGCAACCAACCCCTCGTGCCTTTGTTAATGTAGTACAAAGGGCTCGTGAATCAGGTGACATGCCGGTGCTCCAAGACCGCACGATCAAATACAGGTCCGCACTGAAATACTTGTCGGGAGGATACTTTATAACACAAGGTAAAATAATGCCTCAACTTCAAAGTCACCCGTATATTGACTGTTCTGCCAGGCGCTCATTGGCTTTAATTTTTTATCTGATTTCTTCATTGTAGGTTTGACTTGACCGCAGGCAGCCCTCCACCATCAAGAACCACACTTTCTCTAGAGCTTATTTTTGATTTACGTCAATATGTACAATGCTTGGAGTTTTAGACGCAAATGGACAATCTTGCTACCAATTTTTCTTCTTCCTTTCATAAGTTTTTGAATAAAAAGAGTACAAAGCAGCGGAAGACAGTATAAGTATTCATGAATATCCTGTTCTTTCTCCAGATTCAAGACTGTGACGGCAAATTGTCGTCATATTTTTTTAAGAAGCATCTCTATACAGGGTGATCCTTAATGATATGCGAATATTTAAGCGTGTGAATGCCTGTACTATTAAAATATGGTAAGGATATAACAAGATAAAATTCTCTAAACAATTTGATGGCAAATATTTAAGTGTCTAGCGATCTTTCTCGTACACGTTTCAGGATGTTCTTCGACTTCGTGCGGCACTGCTTCCTTAATTTCAGGTGTTCTCACACTTAGAGGTGTACCTTTAGATGTTCCTTTTCGGACAGAACCAGTTTCAACAAGACGCCGATGAAGATTAGAAAAGGTTCGATCTGGCAAAGCACGATCGGGATATCTCTGGTGATAAATCCGTCTGGCTTGCTCACCATTACCGTCGGCAAGGCCATAATACGTAATGCGTTTCCGCCATTTCTGCATTTGAATAATCCACCATTATCGACAAGATTGTAAAAACTAAATAATGAAAAAGATGTCACAGCGAACAGACAAAAGTCACAAAATGGGTCACTCGGGAACGTGAACGCAACACATCTTATAATACGCTTTTTGGGTCGCTGAAACCGAAACCATGGCTGATTCCGTCCGAAAATGCCTCGTTTTCAGGATACTGGCAAGAATTCAACTTTGTCAAAAAACGACTAATGAAAAATTTCTAAAAACCCTTGCGCGTCTATGATCGAGATGGAAACTTGTTTTTTGGATAAATCGGGTGCGTAGATTCCAAATTCGATGTCGATACGTCGCTAGAATTTACGGCTAGCCCGGAAAAATAGTTTCTTGTCAACTTTTCACCCTAAATTCCGTCTGATAACACTTAAGAAATTTTTCACCATGATATTCATGTTCAGCGCCCCAAATTACCTCATTGTGCAAAGCTCCGCTCTCATGTAGCCATCGATAGTAAACATGAATTTTTAGCACCTTAAAGTCGCAAAAAACGCCTAGTTTTGCAATTTTTCGCTAAGTAATTAGATCTACATCATAAACGGAATCACATACATATAAAACGACCTCGGATTCGATATGGGCAGCCCAAAATACGTGGAATAAGGGTCATTTGAACAGCATTTAAAGCATTTTAACATATAATTACCAAGTACCAAAAAGTCAGAAAATGGGTCAGTCGGGAACATGAACGCAACATATCTTATAATACGCTTTTTGGGTCGCTGAAACCGAATCCATGGCCCATTCCGTCCGAAAATGCCTCGTTTTCAAGATACTGGCAAGAATTCAACTTTGTCAAAAAACGACTAATAAAAAATTTCTAAAAACCCTTGCGCGTCTATGATCGAGGTGGAAACTTGTTTTCTGGGTAAATCGGGTGCGTAGATTCCAAATTCGATGTCGATACATCGCTAGAATTTAAGGCTAGCCCGGAAAAATGGTTTCTCGTCAACTTTCCACCCTAAATTCCGCCTGATAACACTTAAGAAATTTTTCACTATGATATTCATATTTAGCGCCCCAAATTACCTCATTGTGCAAAGCTAGGCTCTCATCGATAGTAAAAATGGATTTTTAGCACCTTAAAGTCGCAAAAAACGCCTAGTTTTGCAATTTTTCGCTAAGTAATTGGATCTACATCATAAACGGGATCACGTACATATAAAACGACCTCGGATTCGATATGGACAGCCCAAAATACGTGGAATAAGGGTCATTTGAACAGCATTTAAAGCATTTTAACATATAATTACCAAGTACCAAAAAGTCACAAAATGGGTCAGTCGGGAACGTGAACGCAACACATCTTATAATACGCTTTTTGGGTCGCTGAAACCGAATCCATGGCCCATTCCGTCCGAAAATGCCTCGTTTTCAAGATACTGGCAAGAATGCAACTTTGTCAAAAAACGACTAATAAAAAATTTCTAAAAATCCTTGCGCGTCAATGATCGAGATGGAAACTCGTTTTCTGGGTAAATCGGGTGCGTAGATTCCAAATGCGATGTCGATACACCGCTAGAATGTACGGCTAGCCCGGAAAAATAGTTTCTCGTCAACTTTCCACCCTAAATTCCGTCTGATAACACTTAAGAAATTTTTCACTATGGTATTCATGTTCAGCGCCTAGTTTTGCAATTTTTCGCTAAGTAATTAGATCTACATCATAAACGGAATCACATACATATAAAACGACCTCGGATTCGATATGGGCAGCCCAAAATACGTGGAATAAGGGTCATTTGAACCGCATTTAAAGCATTTTAACATATAATTACCATATTCCACAGCAATTATTACATTAATTTTCTCGTACAATAGAACGGTTTTTATTTTTTTACTCAAAAATGGCGTATCGAAAGAAAACAATTCAAGAGAGAGCGTTTGTTTTAAATTGAACGGGGAATTCAATAATAATTCTTTTTCTTAAAAAATTACGTAGTCAATACCCGTACGCACGCCACTGTTAAAGCTAAAAATAAATTTTGCATTGAAAAATATGCAACTTTATTAACCTTCACTACGTGCTAATTATCAGTGAAATGTCTGAAGCGGTTCTGGGAATATTAATTAATATCAATTTTTTTCCTAAAACTTCAACACCCCGACTTTTTGTAAGGAAACATTTTTGGACCAGCAAACTAACATTAATTTTTCATGTAGATTCACACCCTTAAATATTCGCATATCATTAAGGAACACCCTGTATATAAAACGCAGTCATAACGAGTTCTTTTAGAGATCTGCGTGAGACTAACGTTCTGCAGGCGCTGCATTTTATCAACATGACAATCGTAATATGGACTTCAGACACTACTGTTAAATATCAATTAGATTAAAAAAACAATCAATCATTACGAAAATAAATAATCGAATAGAAACTATCAGTGCGGTAGCTGCTTACCCGATTCGAATGATTGCTATTATCAAACGAAAACATAAAGCGGTCAGATCCGATTGAGCACTATCGCTGCGGACGTCTCTCGCACAACTAATGTTGATAACAATTCATTTGGTCGCTAACGATGTAGATCATTCCGGTAATCAGTCCTCTTTTACGACTGCCATCCCCCCTACAAAAGCTTCTTCACATCAATCGACTCTAGTCTGGTCGACAGATCATTACAAGATCATTAGGAGGGTAATATTGTATTCTACCTGGACCCAGCGCCGTCTGCACTTATGACGAGACGTGTCTAATGGATCAGCCAAGTAGATTGGCTCTGAAATTTTCGAAACCCAATTTAGGATTAACATCGGTCCCATCTCTGCAGTCAATTGTGGGACGAAACAATAAATGATACGGAAAACTTGGTACTTTGTTTGTTTCAGATTTATTTAGCATTAATGCTACAATGTCACAGTATATCACAAAATATATTATGTCTTCAGGACTACATATTTTTATACAAACTTTCACTACTATGAATTCTGGTTTTTTATGAGATATTTTTTCCATTTCCCTTTGAACATTTTCAAATTGACACGCATCTTGATATCATTACTTAATTTATTAAATTCGTACAATTCCTTTTGAAATACTGACTAGCTCGATATATTGCTACTGCAGTTTTGTAAATGAAAGTCTATACCTCATCTAGTAGAATAATTGTGGCACTCATTGTTCAATATAGTAAAATTTTCTGAGTGATCTGGTAGAAGATGATTTTTTAACTTGAATATGAAAGTGAAAACCAAGTAGGCTATGAAATTTTTAATATTTAACCATTGTATTTCTTTCAGCATAAAATTTATTCTAGTATATTTATTTTTATTTAAGATGATTCTCATCGCTTTATTTTGTAATATTTGTAATTTTGAAAATACAGTATCATTTGCAGTGAACAAAGTAGTCGAACAATATAACAAATGAGGAAGAATGATAGTGTTTTCTATAAGAGTAATTTATTTTCTTGGATATTTTTGAAATAATATATTCATAGTGCCCTTCAAATTTTAATTTATTGTCTACGTATTTGCCCAAATACTTAAATGATTCGATTGACACAATTTTTTCATGATAAATTCTAAGATTTATCGTATCTTGATCTAAAGATTATCCTATTAGCATATATTTTGTTTTGTTTGTGTTTAGTTTAAGTTTATATACATTTAACCAATTTATAACGTTTTTCATATAATTATTTAACACCTCTATTGCAGTTTCAATGTCTTTATTTTTATTATATACTAAGTGACATATAAATCCGAACACCCAGTTTAAATGGTTTTATTTTAATAAAATTTTTTATGAGTACTTAATGAAGCATAATAAGTAACTGATCTCATTCCAGGCAACCACCAACTCCTCTCGAAGTGCTTCTAGAGTCTGAGGAGGACGTTGCAAATCATATCCCATACGTGCTCAATTGGGGATAAGTCGGGAGATCTTGGTGGCCATGGTAACAATGTGACATCATTATGTTGAAAGAAGTCTATTGTGACTCTTGCAACATGTGGTCGGGCATTATCTTGTTGGAAAGTTGGATCTGCCAGGGTGTCAAGATAGGGTAAAAGATGGGGTTCTAGAACTTCGTGGATATAACGCTACGCGTTCATGTTACCTCTGATGAAGATTAAAGGTGACCTGGAACCATAAGCTACAGCACTACAAACCATAACTCCAACAGTGTGATGAACATGTCTTTCAACAAAAAACTGTGGATTCCTCCTTTCACCACGTCGCCTTCTAACCCTGGCACGACCATCGTGCATGCCTAAACAAAATCGAGACTCGTCACTAAAGACAATACTGTTCCATTCCTGATCCCAGAGTGACCGTTGTCTGCACCACTCAAGGCGATTACGTCGGTGTTCTCGAGTTAAAGGGAGGACCCAGTGTGGCCGGTATGCGTACGGCCTTCTCGAAGCCATGCCTGACAACACCTAACCACAGTGTCTACACTTCTTTGCACTCTAACTGCAATTGCCCGAAAAGAAAGTCCAGCTTCCCGAAGTCCCACTATACGGCCCCTATCAAACTCACTAAGTTGACGAAATCGTACAGGTCTCCGTACTCTAGGCATCGTAACCGATCGTAAAGGATGTCAAGAACCAAAATCCGCCAACGTTGATTCTTTACTGCGGCTGAAATATTCATTTTTAGAGCGTTAGTGAATTAAGAAAAAGCTGTATTAAAACCGGAATGTCCAGCTGATAAGGCTGAAAATTTTTTCACTTGTTATTTACAGTAAGATAAATACATTCACCAACTTTTATTAAAATAAAACCATTTAAACTGGGTGTTCGGATTTATATGTCACTTAGTATATTTTATGATTTTTTTAAAACCGTCCATCCTCTCTGCCGCACCCCGTATATCTACAAATAGTTACCACTACAATTAAGGCACATATCCCATTGTTCCACCAATCAAATGACGGGATCCTGATGGATGTTATTCTCTTATGAATAACGTCGTCCATGTCGATACGGCTAAAAACATCCTACCGGACGATGCTGCCTTATCTTTTGTTTACTTAAGCACATCTCTGTATCTCCGTTGTTGTCAATATTCAATTTCTGCTTATCATCATGAATGTTCTTTGTCTAACTCCGATGTAAAAGAAGACCCAAGAATTATAACGGTGATTTCAAGCTTCGGTATTAGGACCCATTCTATTTAATCTATTTATCAACGATTTGTTATCGTCGAAGATGTTTTCTAAACATTTATAAATTTCTTTTCAAGCAGTGGTCGCAAAGAGATTCAGTCAGCCGATAAAATAAAATACCCATACCTTGTGAAGAGGCTGAGATGTAGATATTATTCCAAAATTCAGGTACTTCAGAGATATTCTGGATAAGAAATATTTATATAATCTTTATTATGCTCTTGTTTATCCTCTATTACTTCTCGGAATTTTGGTTTGCGGGGATTTATGAATAATAGGTTGATGTAATCCAAATATCAATTCCAAAATTGATCCTCAATAGGGAGATTACTTATTCAAGCGATTCTCTATATGTGGAGGGTCAGGTATTAGATTGCACACACATTTAATTTTAATACATTATATTAAATATTCGAAATACTTGAATCGTACCATTCATAACTACCGAACAAGATTCAATCAAAATTCAATGTGTATTCCACAAACATCAAAAACCATTGCACAACGATCTCTGTTTTTCTTGGGATCAAAAATCTGTAACTTCATACCAGAGTCATTAAAAGTAATTAAATCAAATAGATCATTTAAAAAAGAACTAAGAAATGGATTTTACAACAACCAAGGTGCTCCATCCACGAAATTGTAGATATGAAAAGTCATTATCAAAGTCAATAATATTTTACTCACACTAACATCCATACTTTTACTTTAGTTATAATTGTCTGGATAGTTTTCCTGACATCACCATAATAATTCAATTCACCAAATTATACAGTATCAACGGTTTTTTTTTATACACTGACTGTACTTTTTTGGGTACTTTATGTTTATTGTGCACAATATTTAATATTTACCTGTATTTTGTGACAATAAACATTATTATTATTATTATTACGAACAAACGCCATTATTAGGTCACAATACTTAAAATCGCAGTCAAATATAAATGCCGGGAACTGATCAGTGTGACTTTATATATATATATATATATATAACTTGAGACGTGGTCATTGTCGTCTAGACCAGTTAGATGAAAAATTAAAGCTTCCGCCTTTTGTTGGGTACTTCGACAAAATTTAAGCAAAGAGGACTCTTTATACTTTTTTAATTCTCTCTAGCTTTCAATGGACTTTGCCATCATCATCACTAGCTGCAATTACAATGATAACAGTAGCAACAATAGTGTAAAATGAATTTAAATTGACTTAACTTACAGTAGTATGTGAGGATGTTGCTAATTGTTGTTTACGTATAGGATGAGGGAAACGTCCAGTAACATGGTGAGAGCTGGATAGATGGTACAATGGTCAGAATTATATAAAATATGACAAGAACAAGTTAAAAACAGATTAAAAATTATTTAAAAACATGAATGCATTACATCGTGAAGCTACTTGATGATTGCACAAAATGGTGGTCATGGAATAATGAGTGAGATGAACCCTTTGACAGAAGGCCGAAGGTTGTCAATGTCTGTGTAGAAAGATGGAAGGAATTGTGGGCGTGTGCCAAATGTTATGTAAGAAATTGTTAAACCGACCAGAGGCAGTTGAATTAACTATATTTTAATTAATGAGAAATTAAATTAATAATTATTATTAAATCGTGAGAAGAGAATTATTAGAATTTGAGTGGAATGAAGTTTATTGGTGGAATCGACCAAGAAACAAATTCCATTTATGGTTGTGAAGAGTCAAAATTTGGGGAGATATGTAAGTTCTCCAATTTTTCGCAGTTTAGCAAATATGTGTAAATGACACTCAGTTGTTTAACAACAATAACAACTGTATCAACAAAAAGACAGATGTTAAACAACTGAGTGTCATTTACTCATATTTGCTAAACTGCGAAAAATTGGAGAACTTACATATCTCCCCAAATTTTGACTCTTCACAACCATAAATGGAATCTATTTCTTGGTCGATTCCACCAATAAACTTCATTCCACTCAAATTCTAATAATTCTCTTCTCACGATTTAATAATAATTGTTAATTTAATTTCCCATTAATTAAAATATAGTTAATTCAACTGCCTCTGGTCGGTTTAACAATTTCTTACATAACATTCTGAAAATCACATCATCTGAAGTGATTTGGCAATGTTGGCACACGCCCACAATTCGTTCCATCTTTCTACACAGACATTGATAACCTTCGGCCTTCTGTCAAAGGGTTCATCTCACTCATTATTCCATGACCACCATTTTGTGCAATCATCAAGTGGCTTCACGATGTAATGCTTTCATGTTTTTAAATAATTTTTAATCTGTTTTTAACTTGTTCTTGTCAAATTTTATATAATTCTGACCATTGTACCATCTATCCAGCTCTCACCATGTTACTGGACGTTTCACTCATCCTATACGTAAACAATAATTAGCAACATCCTCACATACTACTGTAAGTTAAGTCAATTTAAATTCATTTTACACTATTGTTGCTACTGTTATCATTGTAATTGCAGCTCCTGATGATGATGGCAAAGTCCATTGAAAGCTAGAGAGAACTAAAAAAGTATAAAGAGTCCTCTTTGCTTAAATTTTGTCGAAGTACCCAACAAAAGGCGGAAGCTTT